CGATTTAATATTTTTTATAAGTGTCTGTTCAAAATTATTATAATCATTGTAAATCAAACATGAAATAATTTTGGCTATTGTTGTAAACATTACAAATTTTACTATTTTTCAGTAACCAAGAAAAGTTAGTAATAATAAAAAAATAAAATAATTTTATTTGTAAATAATTTTTTTTTTATTTTTTTTTTTATTTTTTTTTTTTAAAATAAATTAAATTTTATTTGTTTTTTTTTTAATAAAATTTGTTTGACTTTCAAAATTAAATAATTTTTTTTTTTTAATTTTTTTCTAATGCCTACAATTTTAGATCTTTTAAAATGACAACATTGATCATTCTCTGGTTCGGTTGCAGGAAGTGGGATTAGGTATGGATTAAGGATCATTTTTTTAGCATCCTCACCATATTTTTCTAAAATGGATAGAATACTTGCATGGGCTAATGCTTGGTGAAGTAATATTTGGTTCACTAATATTTAGTGAAGTAATATTTGGTTCACTTATGTTTAGTGAAGTAATATTTGTAATGTTAACCCAAAATACCGATATCACTGCTGTCAAAATGCTGTTCTGTGATGAAAAAATTATAGAATCTTCATTTAACAACTCTGCCAGCAGATGTTTTGCCCACATTTTAAATTTATGTTTTGTTTCAAGATGACTATGTAGAGCCCTACTTTAAAGCAAAAAAAAAATAAAAATTAAAAAAATTTAAAAAAGACTGATATAATAATAAAAAACTCATTTTTAAAATTCATGGTTTATTTAAAATTTGGCCTTTTCTTCGTAGTTTTTTAAAAAATTTAAATCTTTGTTTGAGAATTTAACATTTTTTAAAAAAAACTGTGTTATTTCTTGATTTTTACTGTCTATTGCGTTGACTACCAATTCCTTTTTCATTAACAATGATGGCTTTTTAATTAAAATGGCTTTTAGCACTTGTATATAACCTCTTGAAACTGATACCATTATTAAATCGTCGAGTTCGATATTTAATTCTACCAACTTTAAAAACAAACAAACACTAACATTATATGATCCTTTATGGAACAATGTAACAAGTTTTGAAGGTGTGTTGAATATTCTAAAGAGGGCATCATAACGTGCACATCTGCATAAGAGGGATTCCCAATTCCCATATCTTAGTATAATTTCGTAGGCTTTTTTATTTTCTGGGTTTGTACCTGATTTAATAAGTAATTCTGAAGATCCACTGTTATCAAATAAATATTGATCTGAGAGGTCTTGAAATATCCATGATAAAAATTTATAAGTTTTTGTGTACGAGGAATATCCAATGATTACTTCAATTTCTAAAACATCACTTCTTTTTAAATTCTTTATATAGCTTTCTAAAACTGATATTACTAAATCTTGTCTATTTTCTTCTATTGCAAAGCAAAGGAAATTATTATAACGGCTAATTTTGAAACCATTTTCTATAATATAAAGTTGAGGGTTTTTGAATGCTATTTCCAAAACTTCTAATAATCGAGTACTATCGTTATAATCTGGATGGGCACTGATTAAAAACTTTCTAGATTTACTTTTCATTAAATTTTCAAAATGGTGCAGTACTTTTTCATTGATGTGAGGCCAATATATGTTTTGGTCACTAAATAAAAGTTGGTTTGTTTTTTTATTGTTAAAAAAGTAATCTAAAACCTCTGTTTTTGTAATTAAAGGTAAAGATTCGGGAATACACTCTTCTGAAAGACATAAGAATTCCTCTAAGTTATCAAAGGTATGTTGTATTAAATCCAATCTATTGGTTGAAATAACATTGATTTGTAACTCATAAGTAGAGTGAAATAAATTATTTGAAGAAAAAAATAAATCTTTTTGATATTTTTTGCAATTATCGCTGTTGATTACTGTAAATAGTTCTTTTCCAAATGAAATTATATCTTCACCTCTTTCTTTAATAATTTGTTCTGCTTTTGACTTTTCTTTAAAATAAATATAGTACATAGTTGGTTTTTTTGAATTAATAAATTTTAATTTATATATTGAATATAAAACTTTAAATATATTGCAGATTATTGGGTTTAAACTTTGATCATTTGACATTGATATATCATCAATGGTTGAATTTAGTTGTAGTGTGCTAAATTGGTTCAGCTCTAAATGTTTGTTTATTGATTTCACTATACTCTGGTACTTTTCTTTTGGTTCGAGATTTTTTTCTTGGGTATTCTTGTATATCTTTATTAAGATTTTGAACTTTTGCGAATACATAAACCCTCGAATAACATGGTATATTGTTAATTCTACTAAATTATAATTATATCCATTTGCTTTAAGGTACTCTGTCATCTTATAACCTTTATAGCAATTATCATAATAGTTTTCAAATTTTCCTATTTTTTTATTTAAATTTGATGAAACTGAATTTTTATCCATATTAAATACTTTGATGTACCCATTAAATGCGGGAATATTACTGTTATTAACACAAAGTTGTAACCAGAATGGGGCGTTGGTGAACTGATTATAATTGTCACAACCTTTGGAATAGTATGGAAAGTTTGAGAACAATTGTATATAGAACTCTCTATTCTCTTTGGTATCTTTGGTAATTTTTTCTATAACTATCTCCAATTCCCTGAAATTGGCCATTAAATAATTTTTACTCTTTATTTTATCTCTTATAATTGCGTCCCCATTACTAAAGTTGTCCAATACATAGCTTGCACCAATTAAATCATTGTAGCTGCACAGTTTGCTATATTTGAAATTTGAAAATATTGATTTGAAAAGAAAAACATTTCTAAATATTTTCCAGAACAACAACTCCTCAGTACTTGCATTTTCGACAGTTAACTGTGATGGTTCTTTATTTGTATTACTTTGGATCTCTTCAATTTCTTCTGTTGGACCTTTGAGATAATTTTCTATTCTATTATAGATTGAAATTTTAGTGCCACCACCACCCAAATTTAATGATATTGATAATTTTTGAAGCTTTCTATAATCTAAACTATCTGAATTAAATTCACTTTTAAATTTTTTATATGTGATTGTACTATTATCTGTATCTAAATCTTCTATTTCTTTCCTTTTCTTTTCCATGATTGTCTTTCTATATATATATTTAATATTTTTTTAAATAAAAAAATAAATAAAAGGGAAAGATATTTTATAAAAAAAAATTTAAAAACAAAAAAAAAAAAAAATTTTTTTTACATTTAATATTATGGAAAATGTTTTTTTAGAAAATCAAATAATTTTAAAAAAAATAAAAAAAATTAAAAAAAAATAAAAAAAGATATTAAAAAAAGATATTGAAAAAAATTAAGATATTTATAAAAAAAATTGAAAAAAAAATGGTGTCACCAAAAAACTATGTGAATCATTTGTTTTATGCTATAAACCATATTTAATATTTATATAATATTATATAATTTTAATATATTTTTTTATTTATTTTTATAAATGGATAAAATATTGGATCTAAACTATTAATTAAATAAGTATGGGTGTTATCAAATTGAATTGTTTTTAAGTTGTAAAATTTGGGGTTGCCATATTCATCATTTGATATTTTAATAATTGGATTTGAACTATTGATTTGAATAGTTTCCAAGTTTTTAAAATGATCAAGATTAATTTCTTTTATAAAAAAACCATTGATTTCTAAAAATTTAATATTATTATCTTTTGGAAAAGTGGTTTGATCAAACTGGTACCTATAATATCCTATCACTAATTTTTCTAAATTGATTTTGTTTTTGAAAAATGATTCATTGATGGAATCTTCTCTTCCAAAAAAAGAAAGTGAACGCAACTGCTCGGGATTTGATTCATAGTATTTGATTCTTCTATCTAGATCATAGCAATAGATAATTGGGTTTACTTTAGGATCTGAATTGAACATTAATGTGTGTTCATAGTTTTTATTTGAAATTTTGAGGTATTCTAAACTTGGTGGAATTGAACTTTCATTAATAATTTGATTATATGTGCTACCCAAAAATAGTTGTTTTAACTTTCCTGTTTTGGGTATTGTGTTTTCTCCAATTTTTTGATCAAATAAATTAAATTTAAGAAAAGTTAAAGACTCTGGGAATATATTATCTTGAACCAATGGTTTATTTCCGTTTGTAAATTCACCTAAACTAAGGTACTCTAGATTTGGTGGCAACTGATTGGGTAGCAGGGGCTTGTCGGCTAGAAGAGCACCAAAAACATTTCCAAACCGTATTGATTTCAAACTTTTTGGAAGCAATGAAATATCATAGGAACTACTATTAAATATTTTGAAATGTGATGATTTATCTATATCGATACCAAGAGTTTCTAAAACATGTAGTTTTGATAATGTTTTTAATGCTTTTCTTCTGTTGCCCACTCTATTGATGTATATATATAAGTAATTTAGGTTCTTGGGCAGATCTTGAGGCATCTTTTCAAAGGTGCAATCCAACACGGTCAATGTTTCTGGGAACTTAAAGCCTTTTTTAAATTTGAAGTTTTTCATTCCATAGATTTTTAAGTTTTTTAATGATTTAAAGCTGTTATCGAATTGAAAATACGAAATTTTTTTTACTGAAAAAAAGTAGATATCCTCGATGGTATCTGGTAATGATTCTATTTGGCATTGTGATATTCTATTGTCATACTGATAGAGGGTGAAGTTTTTTAAATTTTTTGGTAACATTTCTTTGTTGATGGGAAATTCGTAATTTTGTAAACTTAATTTGGTAATTGAATCTGGTAATGAATTTTCAACGATCTTGAAATTTTCAGTTAAACTATTAATTATTTCCAATGATTCTAAACTATTTAACCTCTTTATTATTTCCATGTCGAAGCCAGAAGGTATTGTAACCTCTTTTAACCAGTATGGTAAATTTGTGAGATCTCTTGTATAATATAAACAATTGAGATGGGTATCTGGACCATCACTATACCATATAAAATCGAGTGATTCTATATTCTTTGGCAAATCTTCTAAATTGATAGATCTTGTGTTAAATAGAATCCTAAATTTCGAATTGTATTGATTGTACTTGTAACTGTCATAATATTCTTGAGTTTCAAATACCACTAAATTATATATAATATTTAAAACCGAAATTTCTTTTGCATATCTAAAAATTTTATTTATTAAATATTTATTTTTGAAAATTTTATTATAAAATAAATTATCTGTTATATTCATTAAAATTAATTTATATATGATAAAGAAAAAAATTTTAAAAAATTTTTGAAAAAAAAAAAAAATAAAAAAATAAAAAAATATCTATTTTTTTTTTTTATATTTCAAATAATGATAAATTCAGATTAAAAATATTTTTACCAAAATCAATTAAAATATGAACTATAATAGAAAATTACAAAGAAAATAATTTACTAATTTTGATCTTCAAATAAAAAAAATAAAAAAAGAAATTAAATAAAACCGACACCACAAAACCCATTTTATTATTATTATAAATATACAATCAAAAATTTTATTATTTCCAAAATTAGAAAATTAAATTAACCAAAAAAGTAGATAATCATTCACTGAACTTTTTTTATAAAAAAACAAAAATGAATATTATTGATAAGAAAATATCTTTAAAAATATTTATTTATACCGATTCTAATAATTTAAAAAGTAAAAAAAGAAAATTATAAAAATCAATCAAATCAATTTTTTATTAATTTTTACACCACCCATATTGTTTAATCCTCTTTTATTTTTTTTAAATATATTATAATGATAATAGATGAGTTTAGATTATTATAATATTTTTATAAGATTTAAATTTTAATTTTTAATAATTACCCAGTATCAGAGTAACCCCAAATGATAAAAAAGATGTAATATTATTGTTTTTTAGGGTAGTGGGTGTGTGATTGGTGGAATTATATATTTAATTTTTATATTTTTTTGGGGTGTGGGTGGGGAAATTATTTTAAAAAATTATAAAATATTTACAATTTTATACTTTATAAGCAATTACTGCAGTAATACTGTGTTAATACTGTTAGTATCTAAACAATGTTTTAAATATATATTCAAGAAAATCAATTCTTAAATATCGGAAATATATATTAAAAATAGTAAAAAGTGAAAATAATTATTTCTATATTTAAATTTTATTTTTTTTAAAATTAATTATAAAAAAAAACTAAAAAAAAAAAGTATAAATAACTTTAAAATTTTTTATTTAATCAATATCATAAGCATTACTAATTATTTATTTATTTATTAAGAACCAAAAATACTATTTATTTAAACTAAACTTCCTTTTTTTTAAAATTAAACTTATTTATTTATTTTTTTTTATTTATTATTAATTTTTTTATATTAATTTAAAACTTTTTATTAAAACTCAATATTTATTAATTTATTTTAAAACTATTTATTTATCTTTTTTATTTATTTATTTATTAATTAATTAATTTTTCTACTTTAAAAATGTTATTCAGTAAGTATTTGATTAATTAAATTTTTTTATATTTATATAATATTAAAATTTTTTTTTTTTTTTATTAACAGAATCAATCGTTTCATTATCATCATCACAATCATCTCAACCATCAAATGTTTTATCTAAAGAAAATACATTAAACTTTGATTCAAATTCAGTTGCCGAAACCATCCAAAAGAAAATGATGTTTTTCAGTAGACCATATTGTTTCTAAAAAAAAAAAAAAAAATAAAAAAAAACTTATCTTTTTCAAAACTAATTTTAATTTTTGATTATTATTAAAAATGAGTATTTCAATTATAATAATTTCTTTTTTTTAATTTATTTTATTATTTATTTGTTTTTTAAATTTTTTTTTTTTTTTTTTTTTTTTAATGTAATTAATATTATAAAATATAAACATACAATAACAGAAAACACTAAAAGTTAATAAATAAATCTAATGATATCTAAAATTTTAAATTTTTTCATTCAAATAAAACTAAAATAAAAAACTATTTAATTAAAAAAATAACTATTACATCTTTTTTATTTGTCTATTATTACATTTCTTTTTTATTTTTTATTTTTTTTTTTGTTAAATTATTATTGCAATCTGTTTTGGTTAAAATAAAAACCATTTAAATATCTATCTTTAATTTCTGATATAGGACTTCTTTGGAATATTTTACTGTTTGCTTTTTTACCGGTATTACCTGTACCATTATGACCCTCGATTACCTGTTGCAACTCTTTTAATAAACCTGATAATGTTGAGCTTGAATAACCATGACATTGAAAAGTTTTTTGATGATAATTATTAATTTTAATTCTTATTGTAAAATCTATAAGCGCTGTTTCTCCTGTAGTACCACTATTACTATTACCACCACCACCACTGCTATTATTTTTTGATTTTATTTTTAAATAAATATAATTTGGACATACTGGGTCTAAAAATAATAAGTAACCAATACCATTTAAACTATTTAACATTGAGCTACTAGGTATGAAATCTTTCTTTACACAGTACCCATACATTCCTTGAATATCACAAAAATTTTGAACACTTCTAAATAAACTTGATGATATTGGTGAGAATAATATATAGAATCTTGCAAAACTATCTACTGTTACATCCTTATTCTTTTCACTGACCTTTAATATATATTTTATATAATCGAGCATATATTCGTGATATGGTGATAATTTATTAATGGTATTGATATTATTACTGTTACTTTTATTATTGTTATTATTATTATTTATATTGGTCTTTAATGGTTTTGAATAGTCTATTTTAATTTGAGATAATAGATATGATTTGAAATCTTGCCATGGAATAGACTCTAATATCTTAACTTGGCTATTATTGTTGCTACTACTACCACCATTTAATTTATAGCCACAACAATTTTTCCAAAATATTTTACCGCTATTTATTGGTACACTACTTGTTATAATTTCCTCTAATCTTGATTTAATATCTTTAAAGTCTGGTCTAATCGATGGATCTTGTTTCCAGCATAGTCTAATTAAATCTTGAATACTTATGGGTAGATGGTCTAATGGTAAATGAGACTCTCTTTCCATTTCGTTCTTTATGTTTTTAATTTGATCTCTGGTTAAACTTTCATAAGGAATTCTCCAATTTAATAGCTCCCACAGCATTATACCAAATGAAAATACATCACTTGCCCTACCGACACTAGAGTTGTTGAAAAACTCTGGGGAAGTGTATCTATATGATCCCATATTAACCATATGTCTAGGACTATTGCTTGATGATTTACTGATTCCAAAGTCGATTAACTTTATTTCTCCGCTTGAGCTTTTTAAAATATTTGATGGTTTCAAATCCAAATGAAGTATGGATTTTTCGTAGTGAAGATAAATCATTGCATCTACAACGGACTGCATATCTTGAATGACTACAAGTGGATTTGGAAGCTGTTGATGTTGAATTTGGATATCTATTAATTGACGCGGCGAATGTTGTTTTGGTTCTAACGGCTGTTGCTGTGGATACTTTTCTAAACTGCCCTGATCCATATACTCTAATAATATAATTTTCTCTAAAGTTGAGCTGGTTATAATTTTGATAATATTGCTGTGGTCTAGCTTCTCTAATATTGAAACTTCATTTTCAAACAAACTACTGACCTCTGCAGATGAAGAGAGAGAAGAAGCACTCTTAAACTTTTTTAATGCACAGCCCATGTATCTATAAATGACAGAATGACCACCTTCACCAATTTTATTACTTTCATCAAAAATTGATTCTAAATTATTTGGTAATATAAATGATGTTGCTATTGACCCTGATGTTGATGGTGTTGATTTTAATCCATCACTATTACTATTACTATTATTATTATTAATATTATCATTATTTAGTGTATCATCTAAATTACTTTGACTTTGACTGTATAATGGTTTAAACAATAGTGATTTTATACTATTGGTTCGCATTAAATTTTGAATCGACTGGATTCTTTGGATGGTTCCTTGTTGTGGTGGTTGCTGAGTAGAGTTTGATAATGATGTTGGTTTTAATGATGCATCACTGCTATTATTATTTATATCTGTTGGAATATTTTTATTACTATTTAAATTTAATATTGGTTTCTTTGGTATTATTTTAGTTTCTATAATTTCCTCGAACGGTTCCTCTTCTTCTTTTTCTTCTTTTTTAACTTTTTTAACGTTTCCAAAATGATCCTCTTCAATTTCCTCTTCTTTTTTCTTTTTACCATTCAATTTTTTATTTTTCTTATCTTCATCTTCGCTGTTATTATCACTATCTTCTTTTTCACTTTCATCATCGTCATCTTCATCATCGTCCTTTATAAAAGTTTGTAAATATTTTAAATTAAATGGCTTTTGCTATAAAAGAAATAAAAAGTTTATATTAATGTTATTATTATTGTTATTATAATTATAATTAATAATAATATACATACTATATATGATGATTGTATTTTTCTTAGTTTAGAATCAATTATATCAAATAATATTGTTTTCTCTTTTGTTAAAAGTTGCTTTACTAAATTCATAAAAGATTCCTTTTCATCTTTTTTTAACAAGAGTAACCTTTTTTCAAAAGAATTCATTATTATTTATTATTATTATTTAATTTACAGATTTATTTATTTGATAGATTGATTGATTTGGTTGTTATTTACATAGTTATTTCATAATAATGTAATGATTAAAAACTTTATGATTTATATGAATGAAATCCAACCAAATATTTATTATTTTGTTGCATACTGATTAAAAATAATAATTTAAAAAAAAAAAAAATTAAAAAATTAAAAAATAAAAAAATTAAAAAAAAAAAATAAAAAAAAAATAAAAAAAAAATCTATATTTATAGCTCGTCTTTAGGTGAAAAGTTTTAAAATAAAACAAATTAATTATGATGATAATTTGCATTACACAAAAAAAAAAAATAATTAAAAATATTTTTTGTAGTTAAGTGGGACGAAATTTTTTCTTTAAAAAAAATATAGGCAAAATATATTTAGATGACAACAAAAAAAAAAAAAATAATATTTTGTTTCGGATCCATTTTTATCGTTTTGATCAAAATAAATATTTTTCATTTTATTTAATAAAAGAAAACAAATAATATTTTTTTTGATGAAAATAGGTTTGTTATTCACAAATTCCCCATTTTTAATTAGAATCCTTTTTTTATATTAAATAAAAAAAATATTTTAATTAATTTAAATGTTTATCTCTATTTTTATTTAAAAAATATACACAAACTTGAAATCAATTATCATAAAAAATTGAATAATAAAAATAAAAAAAAAATAAATTTTTTTTTTTTTTTTTTAAAAAAATTTTGTTGGATTATTTCTGTTTACTATCATAAATATAAATATATAAAAAAAATTAAAAATTTACTTTTATATGCATATGATTGATAAATTTTATTAGATTTTTTTTTTTACATATTAATTTTTGGTGGCAAAAAAAAAAACTGTTTTTGGAAAATTTTTTAATTATGATAAAATTTGGGAAAAAACCAAATTTTTCTATAAAAAAATTCTATTAAACAATACCAAAAAAATCACTTCACGGTTAGCGATTTACAAAATCTTTTTATTTTTATTTTTTTTTTATTTTTTTTTTTTTTATATTTATTTTATTTTTATTTTATTTTAAATAATATAAAGATATTTTTGATTTTCCTGTCTTTTTTCAAATAAACAAAAAAAAATCATATAAACAAGTGATGACAGAGTGTTGTCAATATTTTTTTGGATCAAAAAAATTATATATAAAATAAAAATTTTGTTCTATATATAAAATTTTTATTTTATTTTTTTTAAACAATAATGAAAAAGTATATTTTATTAATATTTATTTTTACAGTTATAAACTGTTGTTTAGGTGGTCAGTTTTTTGGAAATATTTCAAGTGATCTAAAAAATCTTAAACCAACATCAAAAGTTTTTAGTTATAATCTTGTTTTAGAAAACATTAATGATTACTATTTTTCATATTTAAATTTTAATGAAAACTTTACATACACTGGTTATCATTTAGGTTTAACTTTTAAAAATTTTAAACCATGGATGATAGTAGATTCTAAAAAATGCAAGTTATCAAAATATATTATTATAATTATACAAGATTTATTTATTTCTTATATTAAAATATTTAAATTTATGTATAGTGTTTTTTATAGGATTAAATTTAGATTTCGCCTTGCATGATACAGAAACTGGATATTTTGGATTGGATTTAAAAAAACCACTAGGTTTATCAAAGCTTTCATACCCAAATATATATAAAAACATTTTTTATGATGACGAATTGGATTTATTACTAATGACCACAAGTAATAGCACACATAATTATATTTGTGTATATAGTTTTGAAAAAGATTCACAGTAAGTATTTTACATTTATTTCAAATAGAGTTGCTTATGAACCCTTTTTACTAATATTTTTTTTATAGTTATTCAATTTATGTTGATTTTAATACAACTGTATATAGTGTAAGAGATGCTTATTATGATATCAAAGAGAAAGTATATGTATTTTCAAAAACATTGCCATTACAAGTATTTAGATTAGAAGTTTTAAAAAACACAACCGAAATGTTTAATATCGAAGGTGTATATATTAGCCAAAATTTAAATAGCTATGTGTCATCTTATAAAAACCAATTTGTTTTTTTAGGAAAGAATGAAGCTGATCCAGTTATGATGTTATACCTATTTAATACAAATACCAAATCATTGGAACTTTTATTCCAAACCAATAAGAAAGTAAAATATAGTAGCATTAATTTGGTTAGAGGTTTGAATCCACGTTTTGTTTATTTCAGTAATTTAAATACTAATGCAGAGGGTTACTTGTTTGATTTAGAAACAAAAACAATAGAATCTTTCAACACAACTAAAAAAAACCGCAATCAAGATGGCGTTGTTACAAGCTTGGTTGCTAACGAATTTTTAACCTCAATAGTCCCAAATTTTCGTTATGTACCTATAGCTTATGACTCTTCATATTATAAAGAAACAATAAGCACTGCATTATCAGTCAATAGTTTTAATCTTTCATTAGTATTTATTTTATTATTAACATCATTAATATTGTTAATTTAAAAATTTAATAAACTATAATCAATTATTTTACATCCCCTATTGTTTTTTTTTATTTACAGATAATTTGGTAATGAGATAATTTCAAATTATTTTTTTATTTTTTTCTTTTTATTTCTAATACTTTTTTTTAAATTATTAAATAGTTCTTTTAGGTTTTTATTATCATAATAATCTTCAATTAAATCTGATAGTTGATACACTTTTTGATTTTGTTCGATATAATCGTAAACTTTGTTAAATAAAAATGAAATTATTGGAAGGTTTTGAAATTGAATGGACCACACAAATAAATCCCAATTGAAATGTCTATTAAATAATTCAATGTTGCAAAGTTTCTTTAGAGTGTCTAAATCGCATTGGAATACCAGTACTTTTAAAATGTTGAAAAAGAAATCACCTAAATAAAACTGAAGTTTTAAATTGTTGTTACTTGATTCTGAAGAGTGATGAAGACTATTATTTCTTAAAGTTATGCAGTAGTATGCCAAGAACATTGATATCGTATCTTTATGGGAAAAGCTTGACAAGAGAATGGAGAAATCAGCTACAGTCGTTTTGGTAAAAAAGTTGAATAGATCCGAAAGGCATTTGTTTTTAAATAAAAACTCTGTTATTAACTCCTCTCTACAGTGGTAGAGTATTGGCGCTATACATGTTGGGTCAATTTGATTTACATTCCAATTAATGTACTTGGACCTAATGAACAACTCTCCTGTTTTAATATGACCATTTACGAAGGCGATAATAAAAGTTTCGGGTATAAATCTTTGATGTTCACCAGAGTTTTGATATTTTAATTTGGTAGCTAAAATTTTTTCTATAATCGAATAGTCTGATCCTTGTGCAAGTAGTATTCTAATATCGCTGTTATTATTATCGCTAACGTATTGACCTGTTTCATGGATTGAATCTAATATATAGTCTATTATCTCTTGATTTTCCATATAACATGCCATAGTTAATGATTTTGTAATTTTAAATTTTTTATTTTTTATTAAATATTTTATTATTTCATTTTTATTTTTATAAATTGATTCTATTGTATTATTACTGTTATTATTATTTAGATTACTGTTATTGATTTTATATTCATCTATATTGTGTTGTTGGTTATGTCTATTTTTTTGATGCTTTTTTAATTGATGTTTTTTTAGTGGGTCATCGTTATTAATGATTGCTAATGAGATGTATGTATCTATTATTGAATGATTTTGAACTTGATGTAAATATTTAACTATTTCTAGTGAGCCCTTTAGTATTGGAAATAGTAATAAATGAAGATCTTTGACTTCTACATGACCATAATAAGGTAGATTTGAAATAAATTCATAAAGTTCTTGATTCAAATTTATTAATGATAATCTTAGCCATAATATATAGTCTTCTAAATCTATTGTTTTTTCTCTCGGTTCTTTTAAAAGGATATCCATAAAGATTTCTTTTTGGTTAAAGAAGCACAGTGTGGATAGTAATCTTTGAATACTGAGTATGTTGGAGTCACTGTCTATTGATTTTTTTGATAAGAGATGGTCTATTATTAGTCTATTACACCCAATACCATTTGCTGTTGCTAAAGTTTCAAAAGATTCATCAATGGCTACACGAGGGTACAGTAATTCCATTATTTTGAAATACTTTTTAGAACATTCATCGTTACGGCCTTTAAGGTAATTGTGATGCATTTCTTGTTTTGATTCATTAACAAATGGTCTTAGTTCTTGTTTTAAAAAATTGGGACATACCAAAAATGAATTATTGGATTCTGACTTTAAAGTTATAATATCGATAGGTGTAGTTGATGAATGGTCGTAAATATGAATATCGTAATTATTTACATTGGCTGCTTCGTTGATATCGGTATCTTCATAGTTTGATTTAGGGTATCTTTCAAGTATGTCTAATAGATGAAATAAATTTGTTTCAAATTTAGATATTATAGGTTCGATTGATATTGAAAAGGTTGAAGAGTTTATAAAGTGCGTCGAATACATTGGAATGCCAGTTAAACATGCCAATTCGAATGCTACAGGTGCTATATAGCTAGAGTAGTTGGTGTTGCCTCTGCTTTCATTTCTTTCTATCCATGCAGCCAGCAATTCATATTCGCCAAGAAATGCAACGATCGATGTAAAGTAAATTGATAGTTCAAAGTCATTGTTGAAAAAGTACCATAATAATTTAACCGAGTCTTCTGTATCTTTACCATGCTTATCAAAGATTGATTTTATAAATCTTGGTAGAAGTATATTTGATTGGGATTTTAAGACATCTAGACCAAAAACTTTAACTAGGAATTCTATAGTATCATAGTTCTTTGGTTCGACCTTTTGAATTATTTTAGCCTGTGGAATCTTGTGCAACAAACCGGTTTTTTCATCTGCAATCCTTAATAGCTCTATTGGTAGCGTTGGTTCTGTGTTATATAAGTTAATTAGCTCTTCAATAACACCATTTTCTGTATGCTGATATAGTTCTTTATTATCAATTACAACCTGTAAAATATATGATAAAAATTCTTCTTTTGATTCTCTTTGTTGTTGTTGTTGATGATGCTGATGTTCATTGGGATCATTACTGTTGTGCCTTTTGATTTGATCTTTAATAAACGGTAGTAATAGTGATTTATCATTGCCTTTATTTATTATATAGTCTATAAGGTATTTTATTATATCTAATGGTAAGAGTGGCCTGGATCTGATGATTATTCGCTTAATTACATCTTCTTTGGTTAGGAATGATGAAAAGCAGCAACTTTCTTCAAAAAAGTACTTTAGTCTAGATAAGCTACCAAACTTTAAGATTCCATCTACTAATAAAAAAGTGGAGCCTTCGTACATTGCCATTATATCACGCTCGTTTTTTGGTTGTTTTTTTATAAAAGGTTGAATAAAATTGGTCGTTTGAACGAACATATAGTTATCGTTGTCATATTCATCCTCCTCTTCCTCATCCTCCTCTTCCTCTACATAGAAATCAATATTTACACTTCTTCTTCCAGAGTCACTACTTTTATTTTTCTTGGTTCTATAGCTTGAATCTTTTCCTAAACCTTCTAAAAACTCTAACCCATTTAAATTTACAGAATTACACGGTTTATAATTATCTTGCCAATACGTTAATAAATCTCTAAATAAACCTTCATCATGAATTAAACCAACTAAAACTAAAGATTCGTGATCAATTTTTAAAAACAAATTATAAATTGTATTATTATTATTATTATTATTATTATTATTATTATCGTTTATATTATTATATTGCTTTATTTTATTTATTTTATCCCTTATTAAGTTGAAATGATTGTTCTTTAAAAGCCAATATAAATTGTTTGCTTCATAATACGAATACGACTTTTTGTATCTATTTAATTGATATACTGCTTTAAAAATTTCGTTTAGAATGGTTTTATTTCTAAATGTTTTAAAAAATAATACCTCTGTTTTAATGGGGAGATAAATGTTATAATTAGTATAAATTATAGATTAAAGTAAAGATAATATTCAAATTATTATTAATAATAATAATAATAATAATAATAATAATAATAATAATAATAATAGTAATTCTAATATTACCTAATTTATTTTCATTGTTATTCATATTTTAAATATTTTAAAAAAAAAAAAAATATTTTAATTTAAAAAATATTTTTATTTTTTTAATATTTTTTTTTTTAGTTTTAAAATTTTTTTTTAAAATATATTGCAATTAAAAAAATTATTTTAAGTTTTATTATTTGAATTGTCAAATGGAATTTAAAATTATTTAAACTACTCGTTTTCAAGTATTTCTTTTTTCATCCAGAATTATTATAAATTCAGAAAGTGTAGGTTTCGTTACTTTGAACTATTTTTGTAACTGTTAGCACTGAATAAAATAGAGAATATCTAATAATCGAAACAAGGTGTAAATTTAATTTAATCATATTGTCTGGTGACTATGTTTGATAATATATCCTTACTCTCTCTCCAAGTAGTGCCATTACTGATGCTTTTTTGGGTATATTATTATTTCTTGATAATGGTGATTTAAAATCATAACTACATGTAAATTTTTTGATTGATGGAGGAAGATTTCCGCCATATTTATTTAATTGAAAAGTTTCGCCAAGAACTAACTCTGTTATTTCTGGAATTGAGTCTATAAATTGATTAAACGATGGAATTATAAGTGATTATTTTGAACGAGATGAATTGGTATGAAGCATTAAACATTCCAGTGGTTGGTTAAATAGAGTAATTTCAAGGGTAATATTTTCATCTTTTAACATTTTTAATTCGAAGATAGTTAAATAAAAAACAAAAAAAATTTTCATGCAAAACTATCAAACAGATAGAAGGCAATTTTTGAACCAACTGCACAATTAAATAAAAAAAAAAAATATAATATTTATAATTTAGTTTATTCTCTTTGTTTTTTCTCTTTATTGTTATACAATCAATTTGACTACTCAAGGGTTTCATTATACTTTCTTTTATTTTTTCTCTTTATTGTAATACTTGAAATATTGTTTGGAATATATTCCTTAATTTGTTCGTCTGAAAAATGACAGTTGCAAACACCAAAAGTTAAATTAATTACAGATGGTGGAAGGTTGCTAAAAGATTTAAACTCTTCCAAATCTTTGAAATTTTCACCTAATGTTAATGTGTGAACTGTTTCTGGAATACTATTTTTTATAATTGGGTAGTTATAATTATCTAATATTACTTCTAAAGCATTTTTTGGTATATTGTTATTCATTCTTAATGGTGATTTAAAATCATAACTGCATGTAAATTTTTTGATTGATGGAGGAAGATTACCGCCATTTTCATTAAATTTAAAATCCTTGCCAAGAACCAACTCTGATACTGTTTCTGGAATTGACTCATCATCGAGCATTTGATTAAATGATGTTAATGTGAGCGATATTAATGTTGATGGGATTGAACCGCATGGAATAGGTTTATTGAATGATGGTAGTATAAGCGAGGTAACTGATAGATTACGAATTGGAGTTTCGAGAAAATTCAACTCTTGGTTAAACAGAGGTAGAATAAGTGTTATTGATTTTGTTGGTCGTTGATTTAAATCGAATCCTAAAGATATATCATTGAATTCCTGTAATGTTATTTGAGTAACCTCCTCTCCTATTGAACAAAGTTTATCTAATTCTGAATTTTTTAATTCAACAGGTATGTTTTTTATATTATTACACTGACCTATTTTCTTTTGTATAGATACAATAAAATCATGGGTTACCAAGTCTTTTGCTTTTGGTCTTGATTCTGAATCGAAAATTAAACAATGTTGAATAAAATTTCTGCATTTGTTGGATAAATGTGATGGAATATCAGGTATACCATTTGGTCGTTCCCCTACTAAACTACCACCTGCCATCTCTATTAATGTACAACCTATACTCCATATATCTGATTTGCTGCTTGCCTTAGAGTTGTTAATAAGGACCTCTGGTGCCATATGAGTGGGTGTTCCACAGATAGATGAATATTTTGAATTGTTTTTGTCACCATAAAACTTGGATATATCAAAGTCAATTAACTTTAAACTTTCTATTTTCCCATCAATTAGCAATGAAAGAATATTATCACACTTAATATCCCTATGATGTATATATTTTTTATTTAGATATACAACGGTGTGTATGAGAAAATTAGCAACCTTTTGAATTTGTATTTCTGTAAAGGTTGAAAATTCGCAAAATTTTAAATTTGTTTTTTTTTTTAGTTCTAAAATCTGATATATGCTTTTATATTCTTTTAAATATTCCATATAAGTAAATAAACAGTCGAAATACCCTTTGTGATGCCCAAATGCATAATCATAAATATCTATTATATTTTTATGTTTAATATTTATTAATTTATCCAATACTTTAATTTCATTTTCATTCTATAATAATTATAATATTTATTAAAACAATGGTAAACAAATAATACTTTAAATAAATATAAATACTTACATTTTTATATTCTTCTGAAATTTTGATTGCACATTCGATATTTTGAGGAATATATTTAGTGTTTTTTTTTTTTTTTCCTAAATAAACACCAATACAACGTGCACCTTTTCCCAATACAGTTTCAAAATCTATATCCCATTCGTTATTATCATGGTGCTTTGTGTATGAAGATTCTGATGCTAACATTTAATATTAAATTTTGAAATTTAAAATAAAAAAATTTAAAAAAAAAAAATTTTGGTTAAAAAAAATAAAATTGAAAAAAAAAATATTAAAAAAAAGATTTTTTTTAATAATATTGCACGAGCCAAAACAGTTTGCGCAAATTTGAAATCAAATGTGTGGGCAAACTTGACCAGCTTTTATAATATAATGAAAGAAATAATAATTCAAAATCAATTATCAATATAAAGTCAAAATGAAAACCATATAGTCAATGAGAATTCGAAACCAAATAGATATAAAACATTATATAGTTTATAAATTCATTTCTAAATCAGGATTCAAAGTCAAAGTTTCCACAATAAAAAAAAATAAAAAATTTAATAAGAAAATTTTAAATAATAAAAATTTAAAATAATATTTGTGAATATAGAAATATATTTAATTAGAAAAATAGATAACTTTAAAAAGAATGGTGATGATATTCACTTGTTTGCCAACGATCCCTATGAAGAAGAGTATTACAGTCCAGAACTACAAAAAAAAAATTACAAAACATTGCAAACTGCTTAATTAAAATATCATATATTTGACAACTCTTGTGAACTGTTAGACGAGCATTTATTAGATATTAAGCTCATCTTTTTCAATTTAATTTTATATTTTAATATTTCCTATTTCTTATGGCGCCATATTCCGCTTCCAACTCCCTTTACTGTTAACTGACAGTTTATTAGTGGTTCAATTTCAAAACTGAGTCGAACAAATTAATACAAAAACATCATTAGAAAAATTACAAAACCTGTCTATTCTATATTTTCAATATTAATGTTGCTCAAAAATAATAAATTTATTTTTGGGTTTATCTTTATTTTATTAAATTTTAGTTTATTCTCTTTATTATAATATTTGTAATATTGTTTTGAATATCTTTCTTAATTTCTTCGTCGGAAAGCTGACAGTTGCAAACACCAAAAGTTAAATTAATTACAGATGGCGGAAGGTTGCTAAAAGATTTAAAGTCTTTGAAATTTTCACCTAATGTTAATGTGTGAACTGTTTCTGGAATAATGCCTTTTAAAATTGGGTGGTTGTAATTATTTAATACTAATACTGAAACTTTTTTGGGTATATTGTTATTTTTTTTTAATGGTGATTTAAAATCATAACTGCATGTAAATTTTTTGATTGATGGAGGAAGATTACCGCCATTTTCGTTAAAATCAAAAACTTTACCAAGAACTAACTCTGTTACTGATTCTGGAATTGAGTCTATATAGTGATTAAATGATGGAATTATAAGTGATTGTATTGAATCGAGAATCGAACTAGATGAATCAGTATGAACCATAAAACAATCTAGTGGTTGGTTAAATAGAGGAAGTTTAAGGGTAATATTATTTTTATCTTTTATCATTTCTATTATATCTTTGGTATTTTTACTATTAAATTCTGGGAATTCTATGGGTGTTGTTCTATTGTTATATTTCTCCAAAAAATTATCTTTTTCGTAATTCTATTTAAAGAAAAATTATTAATGTTTTATACTTAAAAATTTTAAAAAAGTTGAATACCTACAATAAATTCATGATTAATTAACTCGATTGCTTTTGGTCTCGATTCATGATCAAATATTAAACAGTGTTGAATAAAGTTTCTGCATTCAGATGATAAATGTGATGGAATATCAGGTTTCCCACTTGGTTTTTCTTTTGTTAAATCACCACCTGCCATCTCTATTAAAACACAACCCACACTCCATATATCTGATTGTTTACTTGCTTTTGATTTTTTAACCATAACTTCGGGGGACATAAATTGGGGTGTTCCTCTTTGATTTCCAAAACCTTTCAACTTTATATTTTTAACATAATCGATTTTATCAATATATATATTGCTACCCTTAATATCTCCATGAATAAGATTATGCTCTTCATTTAGATATGCCAAAGTATTTATTAGTGTTTTTGCCACTTTTTTGATATGGCTTTCTGTAAAATTGAAACCATTTTTTATTATATTTAATATAGTATCACTATTAATTAAATACTCCATAAATAAAAAAATTCTATTATTTACCTGCTTATAATTAAAAATTTCTGCAATATTGCCATGTTTAATGTTTTTTACTGATTCCACTATTGATAAATCGTATCCAATATCCTTTAGAATTTAATAATAAAAAATTTGTCAGTTTGAGTAATTTTTCAAAAATAATTTTTATATTTACCTCTGCAACCTTTACATGGATATTTGGATATTTGAATAATCTTGGGGGGATATTATTAATAAATATATTTTTAGCATAAACATAAAAATTATTAAATGATTTTGATATGAGTGATGTTATTAATGGTGATGGGAGATCATTAAAAGATTGTGTTTTTACTGATAATGAGGTTAGGTCAGGACAATTATAAAAAGATTGTAAATCGAGTGATGCTATTGGTGATGGGATTGAACCAGGTTTAATATAATCATTAAAAAATTGTAATTTCATTGATAAACAAGGTTCATAACAATGATGAAAAGATCGTAACTCGAGTAATGTTACCGATAGGATTGAGCCAGGTAGAACTAATTGGTTAAAATCATGACTGAATGTGAGTGTTGTGAGATTATTTGGTAATGTGCCGGGTAGAACTACTTGGTTAAAATCATGACCGAATGTGAGTTCTGTGAGACTATTTGGTAATGTGCCGGGTAGAACTACTTGATTAAAACACTCACCGAAAGTGAGTGTTGTGAGACTTTTTGGTAATGTGCCCGGTGGAACTTCTTGGTTAAAACAATGACCGAATGTGAGTGTTGTGAGACTATTTGGTAATGTGCCCGGTGGAACTACTTGGTTAAAATTATCACTGAATGTGAGTGTTGTGAGATTATTTGGTAATGTGTCGGGTAGAACTACTTGGTCAAAAAACTTACCGAATGTGAGTGTTGTGAGACTATTTGGTAATGTGCAGGGTTTAACTACTTGGTTAAAATCATAACCGAATGTGAGTGTTGTGAGATTATTTGGTAATGTGCCGGGTAGAACTACTTGGTTAAAACTATAACCGAATGTGAGTGTTGTGAGATTATTTGCTAATGTGCCAGGTAGAACTACTTGGTTAAAATCATGACCGAATGTGAGTTCTGTGAGACTATTTGGTAATGTGCCGGGTGAAACTACTTGGTTAAAACAATGACCGAATGTGAATGTTGTGAGACTATTTGGTAATGTGCCGGGTGAAACTATTTGGTTATAACGATCACCGAATATGAGTGTTGTGAGACTATTTGGTAATGTGCCCGGTGGAACTACTTGGTTAAAATTATAACCGACTGTGAGTGTTGTGAGACTATTTGGTAAAGTTGTTGGTAACATATTTAAATTTATCCAATATAAATTTGTCAAAAATGGTGGAAATTCATTATCTGGTGGTGTATCACCATACCACTTAAGTGTTGTTATATATGATTTATATTTAAAATGGTCATATAGTAATTTATTAAGTATTACAACACTATAATGAATAAACTTTAAAATATGTTTATGAATTTCATTTCTTAAAAATATATTACTCCAAACTCTATATAATAATCTATAATAAATAGTTAAAAAGAGAAAACACCAATTAATATGCTTTTAATTAATCCATTATTTATTTATATTTATTGTATTGTTCTTACCTATCACTAATATTACTACTGTTTTTTAACTCTTCATTTACACTAAAGTTAATTAGAGATGATAGCAGCTCATCCATAGTATAATATAAAAAAATAAAAATTAAAAGTTGGTGTGAAAATAAAAAAAAATATTTTAAATTTTTTAATACTTTTTTAAAAGTTTTCCTTTATAAAAATCAAGGGGAAAAAATTGATAATTTTAAAAATTTAAAAAATTAAAAAAAAAAAAAAAATTAAAAAAAATAAAAAAAAATTATAAATTAAAAAATTGTTTATTGAATATTTTATTGGTGGTAGTTGTATTGAGTATTTTATGGTGGATGAATTTATAACTGGTGATGAATTTGGTGTAGTATTATTTGATGGTGAGGAAGCGGCAGTTGGTTTGGTCTGATGTTGGCATTGCGACATTAAATATAGCTTGTGATCTTGGAGCTGGTTTAGCTGATGGTTTAACAGTTGCTGGTTTAAATTGTGTAGATGGGGAAGATGATGATAGTTATTATTGGTTTTTTTTTCTGTCTCTCCATGGGGTTTCATAGAATTAGTATGCTCAAATTGTTTCTATGAGAATGAATTCATTTCTAGAATACATACTCTTAGAAATGACATTGATTCATCGAGTGCCGAAAAGAATAAACCATACTATGTAGGTGTTGCAGTGGACGAAATTGATATTCTAAAAGGATTGTACAACGATGTCTATGGATCAAAATTAATTGGGCTTTGTAATGGATATGTCGATGATGAAAAAATTAAAGAAGAATGGTTTACTAAAGATTATGTTTCTGCAATCTAGCTAAAAAGGTTATACAAATTTTTCTTCAAAGCTTGGATGGTAAAATGTGGTTCAATCTTGGCAAGTTTCCAACCAATGGCAAGAATACACTGGCAGCAATAATAGAAATCATGGCATCATTAATATTAATAAGTAGAAGGTTTAATATTTTTTTTATTTTTTTAATCATGGATGTCAGCAATTATGTTTACACAATGCTACAAAGATACAAAATCAGCGAAGAACAAAGTAAAGATCAAATTCACTTTTTTCAATCAAAAGATCCATCACATGATCATACTCATCATCAACCAGGCGGAAAATTGCTCAACAGGTTCTTTATTGAAACGTGCAATTGATGATTCTGAAGGACAGGGGATACCACCATAACTATAACGAAGGTGTTTTGCACCAGTTAAAAGGCCAAATATCTTTGATCCACAATGATGTTTGAGTGTTGCAAGAAAACAGAGCGATGATTCGGACCAAACACCTTTTCCAGTGAGCAATTTTTTTGTTTGATCGGTCAAGAAGGTATAAAAGAAAGTATCTTTGAAATTTGGATCTTTTTCAAGAAGACTTGTAAGATTGGATACCAACGGATCCGTTGCTTTGGTTGGCTTTACCTTTAATCTACGATCGATGTGGATTGAGGTTTTAAAGTAACAGTATTCTTTGTTAGTCTTAATACTTAAATAACCACATATTTGGGCAAAATGTGTGACCTGTTAAAACATTACCATAACCTTGGCAAACTGAATAGAAATTACCAGAAGAACTATAAATTGCAGTGTGATGATCATCGAATTTATAGCTAAGACCATGATATAATAATAAAAAACGAACTTTTTCTTCTTCAACAATACTTGGGCACGTTCCTATTTCTTTTGGTTTGCCAGATGTATTAAAAGAACATTTATAGAAAGTGGAGATAAATTAATTAAATTTTTCTTAGAATATATGATTAACGATAACATCTCTACCGAAGTAAATAAATCACATACTTTTAAAGAGTGGTTATCTGTATTTGTAATGGCTGATTTTAACTTGTTTATTGTTGCCTTTGAGGTTGGTTGAATTTATCCAAAGAATTATTAAAATCAACTCTTTCTTTGTTTAAAGCTTCAGTAAGAGATATATTTTGTTTTTGTAGTATTAATTGTTTATTTTGATTTTGTTTGTGTAATTTTTTTACAAAAAGTCAAGATAAATTCATGACAGACAAACCTTGATAAAAATAGTTATTTTTTTTTTAATTTTTTTTTTTCAATTTTTTTTTTTTAAAAAAATATTCTTCATTCTTGAGGAGATGAGTTTTTCTTAGGGGTTCGAAAAAGGTTAGTTTGATTTTTTAAAAAAAAAAAAGTCCTGCCGACTGCACCCCCCAGCGCACCTATTTTCACTTTTTTTAAAGCTTTGAGATTTATAAAAATAAAAAATAAAAAATTCGATTGGGTTCGAAAAAAAATATTGTTTTAAAAAAATTTAATTGTTTATTTATTTATATACATTATTATTTAAAGTGGGATAATCAAAATTAAAAAAAAATAAAATTAATATCCAAAATTAAAAAAACCCTTGTTTTTCTAAAAATAACTTATTTTCGAACCCCTAGTTTTTTTTTTAATTTTAAGATATTATTTTTTTTTTTTTTTTTTGCCATTTTACCAAGTCTTTTTTTCCATATAAATTTATAATATGGGAAATTCTAATAAAAAAGAATTAAAAAAAAAAAACTCATCTCTTCAAGAATGAAGAATATTTTTTTTTTTTTAGTTTTTTAAAGATTGAAATTAAAAGCAAAGAAAAACTCATCTCCTCAAGAATGAAGAATATTTTTTTTTTTTTTTTTTTTTAAATATAAATATGAATAATTATTTAGTTTTAAAAAAAGAAAATAATTACTTTCAAACACAAAGCAATGGACACAGATGATCTTGAAAACCAGGCATATTGGGATATTGTTAGACTCTCGAAAAAACTTGATGTTTATAATGGCGGAAGAAAAACAAAAAAGTTATTAATTAATAGAATAAAAGAAAAACTTTCAAAAAATGACCCAACTAAAACAGAGAAAAAAGTTGCAAAAACAACAACAACAAAGGGAACAAATAACAAATCTAAAAAAACTGATACTAATAAAGAAGGTAATAAAGAAGTTAAAATAATTTTAAACTATACACATATAATAAATATTCATATTAATTTTTTTATTCATTAAAAAATATAGTTTTAAAAAATACAACAATATTACAAGAGTTATTTTCAAAAAATAAAACTCTTATTTATAATATTATTAAGCATTTAGACATTGACGATATCTATCATTGTGAATTAGTAAACAAAGAATGGAACAATGTTTCAAATAGTAATAGGCTTTGGGAATTATTATTTTTAAAAAATATATTAAATATCAAAGATTTCAGCGACGAAGAGAAAGAAATTTATTCGCAAGGTTTTATCAAAGAGTCATTCGATCCAACTAGTACATTAAAAGTAAGAGAGATCTACGCACTTTGTTTCCCACACCATTATAAAAGATTTTCAAATTTCAATAAATTGAAATCAGCAGGCATCATACCAAGTTCTAAATGTGTAGCAACCAATGGTGTTGTTAATTTCAAAGAAAAAAGAGGCAGTAAAGGATTAAAACAAGAATTGGAGAAGCACGTCATTGATTTATACAGCATTTTATCATCCTATAAAAGCAAATCAAAAGAAATCGATCCAATATGCTCAGACAGTGAAGAGGGGTTAAAACCTAGAGTTATTCACTTAACAAATTTTAGAACCACAGAATCAAACAAAAGAGATAGACTTTATTTTGGTGACAATATATTTCAAATTTTAATTTGCATACCAAATAAAGTTATATCAAAATTGGATCCAAACAAAACAATAATAGAATATTCAAGATTCATGAAAGCTCATTTCACATATGCATATGGTTATGATATTTCTGAATGGTAATTTTTTTTTTCTTTTTTATTTAATTATCACACAAAAATTTAAAGATCTAATTTCTTTTTTTTTTTAATTTAGTTGCCCAAATGAGAATCCAGATAATTTTGGTTTTTTACAAGGTCACTTTAAAGCTCATTATTACGATTTCAAACTATTTGATTTTGATAAGCCATACTATGATAAAATCAATAAAAAGTATGGTATGGATCAATTTAAAGAAAACAAATCAACAGAAAATAAACTCGATTTATTTGGTTTATGGATACACCAATTCAATAATGATTTTAATTCGCCAAGAAGCATAGACGAAGGATATGTAAAAGATTTAGAGAATTTCACTAGAGGAACCATTTCTTTTGGAACAGATGAATATAGTCTCCATAATCATCCACTATATGAATTAAAGGGTTTTCTTCCCGTTTTAGAATATTCTTTTAAAACAAACAATCCAATCAATTCAGATTTTGGAAACATTTTCGATACACCATCTAAATTTACAGAGTTTTATAATCAATGTGCCAATGATAATAAGATTGATGGTAAACGAATATTAAAGAATTTAATTTGGAAACTTGACCTTTATAATAATATTGTAAGCATATTTATTTTATTTACTTTAATCTTTGATATATATTAATTTTTTTAAAAAATATTTTAAACATATAGGGTTCAGTAGTATCAAAAAGTGAAGAAAATAACCTATCAGATTTTTTCAAAAATTCAATAATTTTAAATTACTGTTACAAATATGGTTGCTATTTTTATGAACAAAAAAAACAAGTAGATTATGAATTTGGTTTCTCTATTCCATACGATAAAACTAATAATCTTATGCTAAACTTCAGCTTTCAGAATATTGGGGAAAATAATAATATATATTTTTCAATTACATACCAATTTTTAGATAAAGAAAACAAACCAATTCAAGATCAAGAAAAAAAGAAACTATACAGTCTATCCGAACGTAAGGTTACCTATGAAACCGATTTAGTTAAAGAAAGCGACAGCACTAGTCTTTCATTCAAAAATTTTATTTCATTATTGTTTAAAACCAAATTCCCATTATTCAAATTTGAACTTTCAACCCTATTACAATTAGCAAGAATCGATAATTTTATATCTTGGGCCGACAGTGATACCTCCAATTTACCAATCTATTCAAAATTAAAATGGAAAAAAGATTTCTTTTTGAAGAACTGTTTAAATGGATACAATTTAAGATTTTAAAATAAAAATTATTATTACTTTTTTAAAAATATTATAGGGATCAATATTTGTCAGTTTAATAGAAACAATAAAAACAAATATCTTTAAAAAAACTTTATGATTAACAATATTATATATTAAAAATTATTCAGGTAACTGATCAATGTGAAATAAATAACAAAAAAAGCAGGAAGAGGAACCGCAACAATGACAGTTATGTATACAGAAATACATCTATTATTTAAATAAAAACAATAAATAATAAAAATAATACAATCTTTTATTATATTTTTTTTATTTGTATAATATATTGATTAATTATTTTTTTACAAAAGATAATAATTGATAATTTAAAAAAAGATAAAAAAAACTAAACAAAATTATTTAAAATTAAAATATATAAAAAATTATTTTTATTTATTTAAAGAAAAAATGATTATTATTTGTTGTGGACTTTTTCGTTTTTTTTTTTTTTTGTTAAGAACATCAATAAAATAAAATATAAACAATATCTTGAATTTGACGATTCCATTATTCCTAGAAGAAGACATGATTCAATAGAGTCTTTTAGATGATGTCTTTTATGAGCAACAATATTCTTTCCATTTGAAAAAGTTTTTTCAACTCTGACTTGATGAGCACGGAATAGCCGAATAATTATGAGCAAGAGAAAAGAAATTTTTGAAACTGATATCAGTCGAAGTTGAAAGAACTTTTTCGAATGGAAAGAAAAGCGATAAATATTCGCAAATTTCACCATGTATGCTTAGGTTTGTTCTTGATCTGTTTTCTATTACATGTTTTAGATCCAACATATCTTGAAGCAATTTGGGAAACTAGTAAGCAGTAGATACCTAATAAACTTTCTCTTTCTGAATAAAGCAAATCTAAATTATGAAGATGGAGTGATTTTTTACTATTTTCCCAAATTGCTTCAAGATGTTGGATCTAAAAGCATTGCAATGTAATAGAAAACAGATAGGTGAATCATGGCTGGAATGGATTCGCTAATAATTGAATCAAATTCTGAAAACTTAAGGGCGAAATTGTAAAGGGGCTTTAATACACTATGCAAGGACTTTTTGAATAAATTTTATAGGCGACCCTCAATTTGCTTTGGCCTGTATACTTTTATAGCAACTATATCTGATACCAAATCGAAGAAACTGTTCCAACGAGTAACAACATATCTAAAATTTATCTAATGTATGTTTAAAATTATTTTTATCCATATGATTTAATAATTGATTTGTTATCAATAACTTTATTAACAAGTTATTTGTACTTTGGTATCTTTTGCAAAACTCCAGAAGGCCTATGGCTTTTCAAAAGCTCCTAATGATTTAATTTGAGCCTCGTTGTGTGATTGGTAAAGTGCAACTACATTACATTTTAATGGGTCGCCTAGGGTTATTAGAAAAGAAATATTAATATATATAAAGATTAAAATAATATTTATCAAAGGAAAAATAATTATATTTACCATTTAATAAGTGACATTTTGTATTTGAAACTGAACGTAAAACGTTAAGGTGATCGAAACAGACCCTATCATTGTTTTTATTTTTATAATGATTTTATAATTGATTTTTCTATTGAATGAAATGCATCTTGACATACCTGAACTAGGTCTAGTGATGGGTTATGAAACATCTTTTTTGATACCCTTTCTTTAACAATTGACACTGTATTATCAAAAAAATGGTTATGCATATAAAGTAATAAGATTATGTTTGTTGATGACAAAATCGCCTTCATGAAATTTGAAATCCGGCATCTTGGGTACTCCAGAAGGTTTTATTTTACAAGTCTCACCGAGATATTGTAAAAGTGGAGTTCCAGCAGCTTGAGAGTCATCTTTATTTTCTTTTAGAAAAGATACTGAAAAAAAATTCATTAGTATTATTTAATAAAAGTTAACTTTTAAATTATATTTACTTTGAGATTGAATTTTGAGGTTAGTTTTATTATCTTTCTTTATTTTGATTTCTAATTTTTTTTTTCATTTAATAACTTCCTCTCCTCTTTCTTTTTTTCTAACCCCTCTTCTAATTTCATTTTCTGCAATTCTTTTTCCTTTAAATCTATTTCTTCTAAAATTTTTAATTTTTTTATAGGTTTTTTAAGTGGTTCTTCACGTTGACTCTCTATAATTTCACTTTTGGTCTCTCTATTTTCTTCATTTTCTTCACTTCCTATATCTTCATCATCAACATCAGTTATTTTTTTTTTTTGTGAAAATAAAAATTAAAATAAAAACGAAAAAATTTAAAAAATAAAAATTTAAAAAATATTATGTGGTTGTTCCAAATATCCATTCTTGAAAATTTATAAAAAAAATATTTTTTAAAATATTTTTTTTTTTTTTGAAATTTTTATATGGGAAATTTTTTATTTTATTTACATTTCTCATATTAAAATTTTTTTTTTTTTTTTTTTTTTGTCAAAATTTTTAAATGGCATGTTTTGATCCAACCGCATAATAAAATATTTTTATATTTTTTTTTCTTCTCTATAGACCAACTCCAACTTGCTTCTAGATTATATAAAGAAAATCCTGCCAATAATTCAATTGACCCGTCACTATTAACGCCATCCACAGACGGAGAATTGATAAACGCATTGGGTAGCGTTAAGACAAGCACACAAGTCACATTGGAAAGAAATGTTTCATCCATCAACCAAAAGTATTTCACATTTGGTCAAACTAATGCACCAACACATCAACCAACTCAAATTTGTGAGTGCGATTGTACGTGCAAAAATGGTAGCAGTGCATTCTCCAGAAAGATTTCTGATTTAGCCATCAATAATCAAGGCAATGCAGTCGCTAATATGCTTTCTACAATATGAGAGTACAATGAAAAAAATGAAGATGCAGATAGGTTTTTAGAAAACATACCTGAATTTCGTTGGATTATATTATGTTTGAAAAGAAATCAACAATTTAAAAATTTGACGGAACTAATAGAGCCGAGTTTGACAAAAATTGGGATTTGTTTGAATTCCTATTCAGACATCATTTTGTTAAACCAACTAGTGCTAATTTGCTTTCAAGTCTTCGTGGTAGTGCAATCGATAGATTAAGAACTATTGATCCACTCAATACTAAATCGGTTGAAGAAAACATCATGGCCTTAAGAACTTACTATCAAGATAGCCCAAGCATCGTCCTTGATAGATTCTCTACCTATTCTAGAGAAAACAAATTCAAGTCACTTGAAACTTTGTTACTTGTATTTGACATTGTTAAAAGAAGGAGTCAACTACCTGATGACGCCGCTATTTCTTTCTTAGGTCAGGCACTTGGATGTAATTTGAAAGAATATTTAAGCTTGCGATGCAGAAAAGGCATCACTTACGATGAATACCTCGATGAAGTTAGACATCTCGAAATTGTGTATACCGAATCCAAGGGTACATCGCTTTACTTGATTAAGGAACCAATCAATGGAATCTTTGGTGTTAACAAGTCTCCTAACTTCTCCTTAGCCAATGCTAACAACCCAACTTTTAATGTTGCTGGTGTAAGCGAGGGTATTCAAAACAAGTCCGCTGTGTGCTATAGTTTAGTTTATCCACCATCAACTCAACTAGAGTGCATGCACATAGTTGTGTAAATGATTATTTGAAAGAATGGGGGGTAGAAAAAATGGTACCAAACGATGTTTTTGAAGATAATTATCAACAAATGGAGTTTTTTAAAAAAGAAAACCAAAGACTTTTAAATCTTTTAGATTTTTACCAAGAAAAGCATACTTCAAAAAAACAAAAAATTGAAAAATGTCTTGGGGATGATTCTAGTGAAAGTTTATCTCAAACTGAAGTAAAAATTTTCAGAGTTAATAAAGAAACTACACCAAAAAAATTTAATAACTGGTAATGTTCCAATTGTTGAACCAATTATTATTTCACCAAACATTCCTTCATCAAATTCTAGTGAACCAAACATTCCTTCACCAAGTATTAACCCAGATATTGCAAGTATTCTATCTATTTTAGAAAAGTTTGGTGAAGATGCTAAAAAAATGATACTTAATCCATACCTAATCCCACTTCCTGCAGCCGAACCAGAGGATGATCAATGTTGTCATTTTAAAATTAAAAGATCTAAAATTGACCTTGCTCCAATAACATCTTTAGTTAAAGCACAGGACTTTGCCTTGGTTGATAATCTTGAGGAAATAGTACGAATATTTCAATTGAAAACTACTTTCCTTGGATGTCCACATGCCTCCACCAATTCAAAAAAATATGCATTCATTCTATATTGTAATGATATTTCGATTACAATCTGTAATTCCGACCATATCGATAGCGAAACAGTACGCAAATATATCAAATACTTTTTAGGTTTTCGAAATGATAAACAAGTATTTGAATCCCCACAATCTGGTCCAAAACATTTTAAGTGTAGAGGTTGCCCTTCTAAAACCGATGGTTCAATTAAAATGCGTGGTCTTAAAGCACCCATAGATGAAGGTTTCACTTATTTTTGTTCAGTAGTATGCTTTTTTAAAGTTTGTTATTTTGGTAAAGGTGGTGATTTTAATGCATTAGTAAATAAAGGTTGCCCAAAACCTGAAAAGAATAACAATGTAGAGATTGAAGATGAAGGAGATGAAGATGAAGATGAAGATGAAAAAGAAAAGAAAAAAAAAAATAAAAAAAATAAAAAAGAAATAAATGTAGCGGTCACCAGATCAAAAAGTAAATAAAAAAATGATAATTTAAATTATAAATTATAAAATTTTATAAAATGTTAGTCTAATTATTTTATTTTATTTTTATTTAAAGTGGATTTTATTAATAGTTATAAAGATTATGAAAAAATGATAATAACTTATTTAAAAAAGATCGTGAATTTATTGATTCATTAGACAGTGTACTTGAAACAATTGTTGCTGATAAGGGATTTCGTGGATTAAAAAAAGTTTATAATAACATGTTATTGAAGCAGGTCGTAAAAACACAAAATATAACAAACAACAAGAAAAAATTCAAAAATCAGTCAGGATTATTATCGAAATGTATTTGCAAGAATTAAAAGATTTTCAATTACAAGCAATTCTTTAAGATATAAATTTAAACAAGGAACTTTTCATATTGATAATGTTTTAAAAAAACATCATATGATATGGTGTATTGTTGCATTTTTAGTTAATTGTTATTCAGAAATTAGAACATTCTAACAACATTACTTAATAATGTATATAAATAAATAAACAATTAAATTTTTTTAAAACAATATTTTTTTTCGAACCGAATCGAATTTTTTTATTTTTATTTTTATAGCTCTCAAAGCTTTAAAAAAAGTGAAAATAGGTGCGCTGGGGGGTGCAGTTGGCAGGACTGTTTTTTTTTTAAAAAATCAAACTAACCTTTTTCGAACCCCCAAGAAAAACTAGAGTTCTAAAATTATCGTTATCTCCATTTTTACCGATTATCGTTATCGTGTTCATTATCCATTTTTTAAAAAAAATATTATCTCCTTTTTATCTTTTTTTTAAAAAAAATTATTCATTTTTATCCACTTTTAAAATTTGCCAATAGATCCAAAATAACAGTTCAAATACGCAAATCATAATTTGTTTCTTTTTCACCCTTTTTTTTTTATTTTTTAAAAATTTTATTTTTTATTTTTTTTTAATTTTTTGTAATTAATATGGGCGCTTTTTTTTTTTTTTTGAATTTAGATTTTTAAATTTTTTTTATTTTTAAATTATAATATAAATTTATATTGATTATTATATTTTTTTATTTTCCTTTCAAAAATCTTCACAAAACCATATTAATAAGAGTCTTTTACTCACACCTCTTCAATAATATAATGACAATATAATATTTTAAAAAAAAAAAATATAAATCGTAATATAAATCATATTTTTATTTAAAAAAAACGTAATAATTCCAAAATTTGTTTTTATTTTTTTGTTATCACCATAGAATTATTTTTTACTATTATTTTTTTTTATAATAATAGTAAATTATTATAAATATAAATATAAAATAGACCCAAAAAATAACTAGATTGGATCAACATTAGGTTTTTTGAATTTTTTATAACAATTCTATTTTTTTTTTTTATAAATTATTATCCTTTTTTTATCTTTTTTTAATTTTTTATTATCCACTTTTATCTATTTTTGATTTTTTTCGAAAAAAATAGTCATTTTTGGATAATTTCTCCCCGGTTATTTAAAAAAAGATAAACGGAAACGATAATTTTCGAACTCTAAGAAAAACTCATCTCCTCAAGAATGAAGAATATTTTTTTTTTTTTAGTTTTTTAAAGATTGTAATTAAAAGCAAAGAAAAACTCATCTCCTCAAGAATGAAAAATATATTTTTTTTTATTTTTTTTTTAAACTAAATATGAATATTTAGTTTTAAAAAAAGAAAATAATTACTTTCAAACACAAAGCAATGGATACAGATGATCTTGAAAACCAGTCATATTGGGATATTGTTAGACTCTCGAAAAAACTTGATGTTTATAATGACGGAAGAAAAACAAAAAAGTTATTAATTAATAGAATAAAAGAAAAACTTTCAAAAAATGACCCAACTAAAACAGAGAAAAAAGTTGCAAAAACAACAACAACAAAGGGAACAAATAACAAATCTAAAAAAACTGATACTAATAAAGAAGGTAATAAAGAAGTTAAAATAATTTTAAACTATACACATATAATAAATATTCATATTAATTTTTTTATTCATTAAAAAATATAGTTTTAAAAAATACAACAATATTACAAGAGTTATTTTCAAAAAATAAAACTCTTATTTATAATATTATTAAGCATTTAGACATTGACGATATCTATCATTGTGAATTAGTAAACAAAGAATGGAACAATGTTTCAAATAGTAATAGGCTTTGGGAATTATTATTTTTAAAAAATATATTAAATATCAAAGATTTCAGCGACGAAGAGAAAGAAATTTATTCGCAAGGTTTTATCAAAGAGTCATTCGATCCAACTAGTACATTAAAAGTAAGAGAGATCTACGCACTTTGTTTCCCACACCATTATAAAAGATTTTCAAATTTCAATAAATTGAAATCAGCAGGCATCATACCAAGTTCTAAATGTGTAGCAACCAATGGTGTTGTTAATTTCAAAGAAAAAAGATGCAAGAAACGATTAGAAGAATTGGAGAAGCACGTCATTGATTTATACAGCATTTTATCATCCTATAAAAGCAAATCAAAAGAAATCGATCCAATATGCTCAGACAGTGAAGAGGGGTTAAAACCTAGAGTTATTCACTTAACAAATTTTAGAACCACAAGATCAAACAAAAGAGATAGTCTTTATTTTGGTGACAATATATTTCAAATTTTAATTTGCATACCAAATAAAGTTATATCAAAATTGGATCCAAACAAAACAATAATAGAATATTCAAGATTCATGAAAGCTCATTTCACATATGCATATGGTTATGATATTTCTGAATGGTAAGTTTTTTTTTCTTTTTTATTTAATTATCACACAAAAATTTAAAGATCTAATTTCTTTTTTTTTTTAATTTAGTTGCCCAGGTGAGGATCCAGAAAATTTTGGTTTTTTACAAGGTACCTTTAAAGATCAATGTTACGATTTCAAACTATTTGATTTTGATAAGCCATACTATGATAAAATCAATAAAAAGTATGATATGGATCAATTTAAAGAAAACAAATCAACAGAAAATAAACTCGATTTATTTGGTTTATGGACACACCAATTCAAAAAAGATTTTAATAGGCCAAGAAGCATAGACGAAGGATATGTAAAAGATTTAGAGAATTTCACTAGAGGAACCATTTCTTTTGGAATTGATGAATATAGTCTCCATGACCATTCACTATATGAATTAAAGGGTTTTCTTCCAGTTTTAGAATATTCTATTAAAACAAACAATCCAATCAATTCAGATTTTGGAAACATTTTCGATACACCATCTAAATTTACAGAGTTTTATAATCAATGTGCCAATGATAATAAGATCGATGGTAAACTAATATTAAAGAATTTAATTTGGAAACTTGACCTTTATAATAATATTGTAAGTACATTTATTTTATTTATTTTATTTATTTAATCTTTGATATATATTAATTTTTTTAAAAAATATTTTAAACATATAGGGTTCAGTAGTATCAAAAAGTGAAGAAAATAACCTATCAGATTTTTTCAAAAATTCAATAATTTTAAATTACTGTTACAACTATGGTTGCTATTTTTATGAACAAAAAAAACAAGTAGATTATGAATTTGGTTTCTCTATTCCATACGATAAAACTAATAATCTTATGCTAAACTTCAGCTTTCAGAATATTGGAGAAAATAATAATATAGATTTTTCAATTACATACCAATTTTTAGATAAAGAAAACAAACCAATTCAAGATCAAGAAAAAAAGAAACTATACAGTCTATCCGAACGTAAGGTTACCTATGAAACCGATTTAGTTAAAGAAAGCGACAGCACTAGTCTTTCATTCAAAAATTTTATTTCATTATTGTTTAAAACCAAATTCCCATTATTCAAATTTGAACTTTCAACCCTATTACAATTAGCAAGAATCGATAATTTTATATCTTGGGCCGACAGAAATACCTCCAATTTACCAATCTATTCAAAAATAAAATGGAAAAGAAGTTTATCTTTGAAGAACTGTTTAAATAGATACAATTTAAGATTTTAAAATAAAATTATTTTTTCTTTTTTTAAAATATTATAGAACTATATATTTGATGGTAAAATACTGATTTTTTTATTATTTCACAATCATCATTTTTCCTTTTTCAGAAAAACCAACTTTTATTAATAAAATTTAATTCCCTAAAAAAAATCATATTTAACAATTTTTTAGGGATTATAATTTAGCTTAGCTTTAGAAAAAATGGCTTTGTATAGTTTTGGGGTCGAAAAGTCGCTTATTGAAATCAAATTCATTGTTTTAGTTCATTTTTTTTTTTTTTTCAGTTTTTGTAGTCCTTTGGAAATCGAAATTTTTTTTTTTTACATAAATTCAATATTTTATTTTTCAATTAATAAAAATATATAAATAAATATTTTATATTCAATTTGAACATCAACAATTTATTTATTTTTGTATAATTTTTTTGTAAAAAAAAAAAAAAATTTATAAAAAATAAAAAATCATGATAGTGTTTATTTATTATCACAAAAAAACAATTTGCTTTTTTTTTTTAAAAATTTATTAAAAAAAATTTAAAAGAAAAAATTTATAAGAAAAAATTTTTTTTTTCTTCAACTTTAAGGGTTAAAAAAAAAATTTCTTCAATTTTAAGGGTTAAAAAAAAAAATTTTTTATCAAAAAATTACATTTTTTTTAAAAAATTTAATTTATAAAAAAAAAATTTTAATTTTATTCATTAATTTTTATACCAACAATGAATAAACTACTATCATCTCTAATTAACTTTCACGTAAATGAAGAGTTAAAAAACAGCTATAATATTAGTGATAGGTAAGTATAATACAATAATACAATACATAAAATAAATATAAATAATAGATTAATTAAAAGCATATTAATCAGTTTTTTCTCTTTTTAACTATTCATTATAGATTATTATATAGAGTTTGGAATAATATAATTTTAAGAAATGAAATTCATAAACATATTTTAAAGTTTATTAAACATAGTGATGAAGATCTTGATATATCAGGTTATAGAAAGTTTAAAAATAAATCATATATAACAACACTTACCTGGCGTGGTAATACACTACCAGATAAAGATGAATATCCACCATTTTTGACAAATTTATATTTGCACGGTTCTTCTAAAATGCTAACTCTAACAACTTTACCAAACACAATAACTACACTCGCATTCCATAATCGTTTTAACCAAGTAATTCCACCCGGTACATTACCAAATAGTCTCACAACACTCATATTCGGTGAGTGTTTTAACCAAGTAATTCTACCCGGCACATTACCAAATAGTCTCACAACACTCACATTCGGTAATAACTTTAACCAAGTAATTCTACCCGACACATTATCAAATAATCTCACAACACTCACATTCGGTAATAACTTTAACCAAGTAATTCTACCCGGCACATTACCAAATAGTCTCACAACACTCACATTCGATTTTAAATTTAATCAAGTAGTTCTACCTGGCACATTACCAAATAGTCTCACAACACTCACATTCGGTCATTGTTTTGACCAAAAAGTTCTACCCAACACATTACCAAATAGTCTCACAACACTCAAATTCGGTAGTTGTTATAGGCATGTTGTTCGACCCGGCACATTACCAAATAGTCTCACAACACTCACATTCGGTGATTTAATCCCAATAGTTCTACCCAACACATTACCAAATAGTCTCACAACACTCACATTCGGTCGTAATTTTAACCAAATAATTCTACCGGGCACATTACCAAATAGTCTCACAGCACTCACATTCGGTGTTTGTTTTAACCAAGTAATTCTACCCGGCACATTACCAAATAGTCTCACAACACTCACATTCGGTGATAGTTTTAACCAAGTAATTCGACCCAAAACATTACCAAATAGTCTCACAACACTCACATTCGGTAATTATTTTAAACAAGTAATTCTACCCAAAACATTACCAAATAGTCTCACAACACTCACATTCGGTTATGATTTTAACCAAGTAATTCTACCGGGCACATTACCAAATAGTCTCACAACACTCACATTAGGTGTTGATTTTAATCGAGCAATTCTACCCAACACATTACCAAATAGTCTCACAACACTCACATTCGGTGTTAGTTTTAACCAAGTAATTCGACCTGACTCATTACCAAATAGTCTCACAACACTCACATTGGGTGGTTGTTTTAACCAAATAATTCTACCTAGCTCATTACCAAATAGTCTCACAACACTCACATTCGGTGATAATTTTAACCAAGTAGTTTTACCCGGCACATTACCAAATAGTCTTACAACACTCACATTCGGTGTTTGTTTTAACCAAGTAATTCTACCGGGCACATTACCAAATAGTCTCACAACACTCACATTGGGTGGTTGTTTTAACCAAATAATTCTACCTAGCTCATTACCAAATAGTCTCACAACACTCACATTCGGTTATGATTTTAACCAAGTAGTTCTACCCGGCACATTACCAAATAGTCTCACAACACTCACGTTCAGTTATAATTTTAACCAAGTAAACCTACCCGGCACATTACCAAATAGTCTCACAAAACTCACGCTTGGTGGAAAAAAATTAGAAAAAATTCATATAAAAAATTTTAAAATTTAAAGTGAATCTTATTTGGAATTTAATCCATTCCATTTTTGATATATTATAATAATCATAAAATACAGAGTTTTTGAAAAATCCGCTTAACAATTAAATTAATATATTTTACAATAAAAAAAAACAACAGTAAAAAAATAAAAATTCTATCTTTTTCTTTTGATTTGGATCTGCTGAGGTTTTATTTTAAAAATAAATATAATTATGATAACAATTTTTATAATTATTTTAGATTCATTTCTTATTTTAGTAAAATTTTTATTTTTTATTTTAAATTAATAATTTTTTTTTATTTTTATTTTTTTAATTACTTTTTTTTTATTTATATTTTTTAATAACTTTTTTTCCAAAAGATTGCAGAACAAAATTTTTATATTTCTTTATTATTTTTTTCACCTACAATAATAATATTCTTTTATTTCTTTATAATATTCCATACAATAATAAAATTTTTTTGTCTTTATTACTTTATTCATATACAATATCTTCATTTTTATATTTATTATTTTTAATATTACAAAGAAATATTTTTTTGTAAATCAAGTAAAAGATAACTCAATTTCTCCTCTCATTTTTTTTCAAAATGTTACTGTTATAAATCTAGTAGTTGATAAGAATTAGCTCCAAAAAATGAAAACTCCCAAAATTTTTTAAGATATCGATGAATGTAAAAGAGGTATTTCAGGTTGTTCCCGAATTATGTGAAAATACTATGGGTTCATTCTTATATTCTTGCGAACCAGGCTATACTTTAGATGCCGATAAAAAGGGTTGCAATGGTAAGTAATACTTTATAATAGTTTTAAATATATAAGTTTAAGTACTAATTGTTTTTGTTTTAGATATTAATGAATGTATTGATGGTGGTTGCTGTGAACAAACATGTAATAATTTAATGGGTTCTTGAACATTGTTTATATGATCCAGGATATATTAAATGATAAAAGGTATGCACAGGTCGGAATCTTTTTTTATATCATAGTTTATATTTTTACTTTTTTTATTAATATATTAAATTCTTATTTATAGATATTGACGAATATTTAGTCGGAAGCTCAGGTTGCCCAATATTGAAAAAAATATAAATGGTTATTTTGAGTGCTCTTGTGTTTCAAGATCTGTACATAGCAATAATCGATGGGGAAAAGGTCAATCCCATAATCATTTAACAATGTAAAACTAATAACCCAATCCAAAAAAAGATCCTCATCAACAGAGGACAAAAAGATAGAGAATTAAAAAAGCTACAGGAAAAATTATTATCAGAACAGAAATTATATAATTAAGAAAATCCAGGGCATCATTTCATCATAGATCAAATTCATCTAAATCAACAAAATCTTTTTTGTCTCAATTAGTACTTCAAGTATTTCATATCGGTATATGCACACCAGGTCAATACGGATTCATCAAAAATTATTCAAAGATAAAAGAAAACATTATAGATTTTAACCCATATAATCAAAATTTTAACATGCAATAACACATTTTTTAATATAATAATCAATCTCTATATAATTTTTTTTTATTAGGAGATATAAATATAGCTCTGCAGTTCTACCAACTTCACTTTCCAAACCGTCTTATAGAGTACAGAACTTATAAATTCAGAAAACAAAAATTAAAAAAAAATATAAAAACCTGCACCTACAACAGCAATAGACACACCAACTTCATTACATAATAATAAATCAGAATTATCAATATCAAGAAATACTTCTAAAACAACTAGTTGCTCAAAAAGTTCAATGAATGATTGAAACTTATAGAGCGATTATTCGACAGAGGATTAACCTAAAAACAATTTATTATCAAATGATTCAAATACTAAAACAAAGCAATTATATTTCTACTCAAAATTTATCGAAAACTCTTGCTTCTGTTGATAAATTGGATCTTGATGATAAGCAAACAACAATCAACACTAATAAAATAATAATTCGCCAATCATCACCATCATCAAATAATTTAGCACTACCATCACCATTTAATATTAATATAAACATTGGTTTTTCTTCTGTAAAGTATTTATTAACTTAAATAAAAAGTAATTTTTAATAAATATTTTTTTAACTAATTTTAAAAAATATATAAATGCAAATAATGAAATTTTTTAACCGATTTTTGATTAAATCAACCTTTTTGTATTAATTGCCACGGCATTGTGATTCGAAAAAACCCAAAAACGTGAAATTTTTAAGAATAAAAACAAGTTCGGATGGTGTAGTTGGTTATCACGAATCCTTAACACGGATTAGGTCGTGGGTTCGATTCCCGCTCTGAATATTTTTTTTGAAAAATATAATATCTTCCCGGATATTTTTTTTACAAACACAAATTTCACTATTTGTTTATAAAAAACATATTCGCAACCGACAAGTGTTAACATCATATAAAATCGAACTTTTTATAGCTACCGAATTGTAGGCTGATTTTTACACCATTCGACAGATCTTGAAAAGATAAACAACAACACATCTTTTCCACACTCCAAACACCTTCCCAAGAAATAAAAACAACACTCCAAAAACCATCATCAATCTAATATCCAAAGATCTTCAATCTTTAACAACCTTTTAGATTAACCCTCAATCTACAGCTATTCCATCTTATCCCCACACTTTACACTTATATCCAAAAAACCACTGATCAATCCCGCATTTCCAGCCTTTTACCGATATGTCTGATTCATCATCTATCTCATCTGAAACCATATATGATGAGTTTAACAGCCCCATCAACCACAACACCCCAGCAACGAAGAAACACGTTTACGAACTGTTGTCTAATGTTGATTTATCAATCAAAAAAATAAATCAACTCACCTCGCGTGAAAGAAACGGTGGCCTATATCGACTATCACTTTACTTAGGAAAAGATATCCCAAAAGATACCAAGGACAAAATCATCAAACTAATCGTTGAAAGCGACTGTTGCACAATCCCAAACGTAGGTCAAAACAAGGATAGTATCAAAATTGATATATCATTGGACAAAATACCAAAACTAATTGACCTAAGGTACCAACACAAACTCCACTTCAGATTATCTTGTCACGATCATCACATCATGACAATCACCTTAAAAACAAATGAAGAAAACCTCATCAAACAAACGGAGCACGGTATACTTAATCCAAGTGAAGGCGGCATGAAACCAACCCTCCATCATATAAAACACTTTGGACAGTACACAAACTTCTTTATAATGTACCCAGACAACTACGACCCTATAACTAAAATGGTAATTGGTGAAGACATGAGTTCATCCAGAATATCTTATAGAAATGTTATAGTCACTGTTAGAAGCAGTAGTAGAATACTACACAGAGAGAAATCTCAAAAGCACCCAAAAGAACCCACCACCAACAATAAACCAAAAGATGTCACTAATGCCGTAATAAAGGATACAGTCCAAACATCAACATCAAACACACAAAAACCCGCCCCAATTGCAAATCCAATCGATGACCAGAAAAATCATATTCCATTGGGTGACTCCATTTTCTCACCAATTCAATCAAAAATTAGAGCTACCCTCGATTCAATGGATTCACCAAAAACACCAACTTTTTCCTCAATCCAAAACAAAAACAAATCACCATTGACTCAAATAACAATTGCTAACTTCGCCAAATCAGTTGAAAATAATAATCCACAAATATCAATCGGGTCAACTCCAATTGAGGCCAATAAAGAGTCACAACAAAAACCAACAAAAAAAACCACTACTACCACCGCAATCCCAAATCTACCACCAACTCGTTCTAGAAGCAGTACTTTCCCTGCTCCCAAAACAAAGTAAATGGTTACACTCCAAATCAACCAGTGGAATATCGGTGGCTGTGGTACCAAAGATACATACACTTTAAAAAATGAAAACGTGGTTAATACATTACCTAACAACAAAAACCATCCAACTATCACAATTCTCAATGAACTAAACGCAGTTTATTCGAAATTCCACGACGATCATAAAGGTTCACTAACAAATGTTAATGGAATGGGAACCGGCGTGGCCATCGTTGTAAAAGAGTGGGTGATCTTCTATCTGGAAAACATATAAACAACCAAAACAAACAAACAAATAATAAATAATAAAATACCTTATAATGAGACTCTTTTGGGTTAAAACTATCTTTATTGATAATATTGATAATATTAATAATAATGATATAATGATCTTTATTTATGAATTTTTATGCCTTTTTTTTGGCGAATTATTTTTGAAAAAATATTAAAAAAATTAAAAAAAATTAAAATAAAAATTTCGGTTAAAAGAAATTTTTATGAAACACGTTGCAAGAAGCCATCGTATTACTTTTTATGGGAAAAGCTTTATAGGCTATAAAAACCCAATTATATATATATATTATATATTAATTATTATATAATTAATATGTGAGTGTCTAACAATCGTCAATCACAACCCAAACATAATTAGTATCAAACAAATAGCTATTATCACTGGTAGAGCTACCATCGCAGATATAACAATATCATCAAATACTATAAGACTACTCGCAATATACGCACCAGCAGATAAGAACCAAAGAAATGAATTTGCTGACCAACTGCTTGACCTTTATAATAGCCTATACAATAACACAAACATTAACAATTCGATACCACTACAAATCATCATTGGCGACTTCAATTGCGCCGATTACAAAGAGGTACTAAACCATCCCGATAAAAATCTGAAGGAAGAAAGCCTAAGCTTATTAATAGAGTCTCTGGTTAATCTCAACAATCTGCACGATATAGATTACAAACTAACCAGAAACACTTTCTCACACAGAAATGGTTCAGGTGATAAACGACTAGATAGAATCTACATAGACAAAAGACTCATAAACCCATCAAACCAAAACCTCGAGATTAGATACACATCTTACTCCGATCATAAAATCCTCTTTACTACCATTAACGTAATCAACTGTTCACCAGCTCCTAAAAAGCCAAGGTGGAAACTAAATCCCCTAGTTGCTAAATCCCACAGTGTTATCACACTACTTAAAGCCCACCTCAAAGCCATATCAATACCAGTCAATCAATCAAACTTCAAATTCCAAAACCTAGAAAATCTAATGAAGGAAATCATCGTCTTTTACAAAAGACACCAAATGGAATACCTGAATAGAACCCAAGTTCAAATTAACAATCTTAAAAAATTAATGCTCCACCCAGATTTAGCAAAAGAAGCTGAAGCAACTCTTTTCTCTATAATTGAAACCAAGAAACTTGAAAATACATTCTACAATGATCTAACAAGATACACACAAGGCGAAATACCATCAAGATACTTATCATCAATTCTCCACAAGAGATCGAAGCAAAACCAAATAACAGCTATTAAAGACGATAATGGAACAACAATAGAAAATCAAAAAGCAATTGAGAATGAATTCCTAAAATATTTTAAACACTTATACTCAAAAAAAAAAGATTGCTCAACAACTCACAACAAATTACTAGCAAATTGGATAATTAAAAAAGATGAATCATGGGTTGATCTCGGCTCACCATTCACCGATTCAGAAATTAACGATGCTATTAAATCATCAAATCCTCATAAATCCCCCGGACCAGACGGTATTACAAACGCCTTTTTTATTACGCATAAAAAACATCTAATACCAATACTTAAGTCAGCGTTCAATGATGCTCTTAAAGATCCCTCAACTATTTCAGATTCTTTTAAACAAGGCCTAGTTATCACTCTTCCTAAAAAAGGAGATCCACTTCTAATTAAAAATAGAAGACCAATAACACTCACCAACAGTCTTTACAAAATTTTTGCCAAAGTGTTAAATAATAGACTTTTAAAAATACTACCAAAAGTTATCAATAGAAACCAAAAAGGATTTACACAAGATAGATTCATTATTGACCATATTATAACAATGGAAAACATCATTACTTTCCTCAAAAAATTCAATATTCCAGGAATTATCACATTCTACGATTTCGAAAAAGCTTTCGATTCAATATCCCACGATTCAATAAAAAGAACCTTACATCATATTCAAATTCCAAACAATATTATAAATCTAATAATGGGACTACTAACAGGTTCAAGTGCAAAAATAGAAGTCAATGGACATCAAACTAATCCTTTCCCCATCGAAAGAGGTGTTAAACAGGGCGATCCCTTATCTCCAACCCTATTTATCTTGGTACTTGAATGTCTTGCACGAACAATTATTAATGATAAGAATATTGCTGGTCTACCACTGTGCCTTAATACAAATCAAAGAGAAAAAATGCAATGCTTTGCTGACGATTCCTCTACCTTTGCTTCTAACTACCACGAACAAACTATAATACTGAAACATTTCGATGACTTTTGCAGAGCAACCTCCTCAAAAGTTAACATAGATAAATCTACTTCAATCATTATAGGAGACTGTGGCACCCACTCATCACCAATACCTATTGCCAACACACCTCAACGATACCTAGGCTACTATTTTGATAGCCAAGGTATAGTACGTAAATTACCCGAAATCCTCAAAAGCATCCGCGCATCCCTTGTATTATGGAAATCAACAGGCGCAACAATCAAAACGAAAATCAACATACTCAAGTCATTTGCACTATCCAAACTTATATATCATCAATATATAGAAGACTTTAATGACCAAGAAATGAAAGAAATCGATAAACTTGTTATTTGGTTTCTATCAGCCCCTAACGTTAAAAGCTCAGGTGGTTTCTCAATTGGAGGAAAAAATACAGTATCCTTAATGTCAAACCAAAGATCACTCTTTCCAATGGAAAAAGGAGGTTGGAACCTCTGGGATATTAAAAAAAGACAAATTGCTCAAAAAATTTGGTTATTCAATAGATTTCTAGTTTATAAAAAAACAGGCTCCTACGAATCAGCTTATCAAAACAGCTGGGAATTCCAAATCAACCGAAACAACTACACTTCTTCACTCTTATATTCATTTATGAAACACTGGAAACAATACTTTGGAAATCACTCAAACAACCTTTATCCGATTATTGATACAAACAATAATGGTATAAAGCTAAAAGATATATATCTAAATATATTGAAACTACCAGAAAAAATTCCAAAAACATGCTTTCAAATTACCCTGGATATTAGAGGATACCGTTACGATCAATTATTCAATAATATATTAAAACTCAAAGATCCGAAAGGTAGAAATACACTTTTCAGATTCCAAGCAAGATGCCTACCAATAAATCTTCTACATAAAAGAACATGCCCAATGTGTAATATACCCATGAACAATGACCCTTATGGCCATCTACTATTATTCTGTAATTCAACTCGAGAATATATTAATATAAATTCACTAAAAGAATACCTATATGAAAGTACTGGTAAAGATAGCAGATGGAATTATAATAAAAGTACCAACACATTGATTTACCGAAAGACACCTCAATCCAAACTTGATAAATTCTATGGTGGCAGCGAATACGACTACCATATACACCCTCAAGATGAACCATTCCGATGGTGCTATAGAGATCTCGATTTCGATCTTGATAGAACACCGACCTACAGAAATATGATTTCAATTATCTTCCACCAGGTCTGGATTTGGGTATGCACCAAACTATTTAACAAAGAGATTAACCCAAATGCAATTGCTAAATCATTAAACTATAATGACATCCAACACAAATGGACCAAACTCGCCTCACTAGAATATGCAAGAACGATCCAATCAAACTACAACAACTTCCTAAAAGTAGATAAGCAAATAAATTCAAACCATATCCAAACCATTAGATCTAAAATATCAACCTTTTATAAATTACCAGAAACCACTTTGATCAATTTCCCAATCAAATACCTATAACAATACAAATCCTCTCACATACCATTTAAAAATTTTATTTAATAAAACACCGTCTCTTACACTAATAATATAAATTATATTATTAAGTAAGATTTTTTAAAAAAAAAAAAAAAAAAAAACATTAAATAAAATTTTGCTGATTAATGTAAAGCATTTGCTTTTAATTATCTTCACACTTAAAAAAAAAAAAAAAAAAAAAAGCTACTTTGGTTATAGATAAATAATAATTTCCCAGTCTGGCAGGTTTTCCAAATCACACACTAATTGATGTTACCGTACCTAACCACACTGTGGTAAAACTCATATTAGTATAAAACACATGCCAAAAACAAAAACAATAAAAAAAAAAAATAAAAAAAAAATGTATTTCAATAATTTTATTATTTTTATTTTTATTGTTTAGGCAGTCAAAATTTCATTGGTGTTTTTCTTTTTTATTAATTTAAAAGGTTTCTTTGATGACTGTGATTCTACTGCTATTTTTATTGTTGTTATTATTTTTGTCAATATCAGTATTGTTAATTATATTATCTTTTTTTTTAAACATTATATCATCTTGAGATGTTTTAATTTTCTTTTTATGATTACCATTTAAACTGTCTGTTTCTTTTTACTTTTGAAAAAAATGAATTATTTCTTATTATCAACTATTTTTTTATATTTTACACATGGATGGGGTATTAAATGTAAACTGATTGGTTTATCTTATAGAGTTAATTCATGAAAATCCTTTATAAAGAGTTTATGACTATTTTTTTTGAAAGGTATGCCAAGGATTTAATGAGTATAATTGAATTTTTTCTTAATATTTCTTGAAGAGTATTATAAATAAAAAGTCTATATTTGTATAAAAAATCATTTACAATACTATTTCAGAGTTAATATTTGAGTTTTATTTTGGATAATTATAGAGTAATTAGTTTAATACATACATTGATTTTATAATTTTTTTTTTTTTTTGAATATTCTAAATCTTCTATTTGAACGGCTATGTCTCGCTTTTGTGTTTTATGTAGTTGAATTTTTTCATAAAAAAAAATTGAAAGTGATTCATTTTTTATTAATTTTAATATATCCATTATTAAATTCTGAATATTTGTTTAAAAAAATGAAAAAAAAAAAATTTTGAAAAAAATTTTAAAAAAAATAAAAATTTTTAAAAAAAATTTAATTTCAAGAAAATTTTAATTTACAAATAAAATATTGAAGTTCGATTAATGGTGATTTTGTAATTGTTGGTGTGTATTTGTATAAATAAATTTTATAAAACTTGTGTTAACATTTGCATCAATCAAATTGAATGGTGAAAAAATATTTAATAAAAATTAAAACTTAAAAAAAATATTTAAAAAAATAAAGTTATTAAATTATATGAAAATGATATTCATTATATATAAAGATATTATCTTTATTTATAAAATATTAAATTATAAAAACAATTAATGAGTGAAAATAAACTATTATATTTGGAATTTTATTTTGAAAATTTTAAAAAAAAAATAAAAAAAAATAAAAAAAAATAAATGTATGTTTAATAAACACTGTTTACATTAATTTAAAGTTGTATAAAAAAAAAAAAAAAAATATAATAATTTTCAAATATTAACAAACTTAATAACAAAAAATAAAAACTAAATTCTAAAATGTTAATTATTAGTAAATATAAAAAAATAATTATTATAAAACTTTTTATGTGTATCTTAACCTTTTTTTATTTTATATAGAATCTATTTCATCAATAAACCCAGTTAACAGTGCTTCAACTATTTCAATGTTAAATTCATCAGGAAGTACCTTGTTCTCTGATAATGAATCAGCTTGTTTTGGTAATAGCTTAGGTGGTGGTTCATGTGGTTTCAATCCATGCAGCAGTGGAAACAGTAACATTATAAATATCGATATTGATATTGGTCGTCGTAGAAGATGCTGTTAAATTATTTTAAATAAAATTATTAATCATTAATTTTTATTTAATGAATTATATCTTTTAAAACTATTATCATTTACATAATTATTTTAACTCTTTATATTATAAAAATAAACTTTTATTAATTTTAAAAATAATTTTGCAATATTAAAGAATAAATAATCTAAATATTGTGATATTGATTTATTTTGCAATATTAAAGAATAAATAATCTAAATATAGGGGTATTGATTATGATTTATATAGTTTTTTTACTTGAACTGATGAATTTAAAATTGAAATAGTTCAAGTAACAATACTTGAATTTCTTTTATTAAACTTTTTAAAATTGTTCCATTTTATTCCTCATTCTTCCAAACTCTATTATTAATCTTTAACCAACTAATTTTACCTGTAATCCTACAACTAATTAAATTTAATAATGATTAAATTTTGATTTGGTTTTTTTTTTTTTTTTTTTTTTTTTAATTAAAATTTTTTACAGTATTGAAGGTGGAAAAACTGGATAATTATGTATGTTTTTTTTTAAATGAGGAGCTATTCTATTTTTAATATTTTAAAATATATTGTTATTAAAATGAATTAGACGATTAATTTTTAAAAAAAAAAAAAATAAAAAAAAAATTTTTTAAAAAATTAATTTTTAAATTAAATTTTTAATTTTTATTTTATCTATATATTTTATTTATATTTTATATTTTCACAGCCTTTTATTTTTATCAGCTTATTTATATATATATATATATATTTATATCTTATCAACATCAAATACATATTTACATATTTATCAATATCCATATATTTTCAATTATGAAGCCATATTCAAGAAATAAATTTACAAAAGAACAATTATTAGAATTATTAAAAGATTTATTAATACAATTACAGCATTCAAGAGGAGAAAAGAAAAATTTTTTTAATGAAGGAATAGATATTGCTAGAAAAGCAATTTTAGATTTCAATTTCAAATATTTAGATGCAACAACAATAGAACCAACTACTTTGGTTGTTAATTATTACAATTTTGAAGATTTTGAAGATTTTCCAAATGATGAATTAGATCAATCAAATCAAGAAAATCAAATAGTTAATAATTTAGAAGAATGCGAAGAAGAACCAATTTACTCAACTCCACCAGCTCAACAACAACAAACAACAACGACAACAACTACAACCACATCAAATGCAGAAAATCAACAACAAGATAGCGATGATGAGTCATCTGATGAAAATGATAATTATGACTATGAATGGAAATGCTATCAGACTCCAGTATCTCCACCAAAATCACCATCAGAAGCCCCAATTTCACCATTACCAACTCCAAATTCACCACAAAAACAAGATGAGGATTCATCAGAAGAAAATTTAGATAATGAAGAATTTGAAGATTGGAACTGTTATCAAACCCCACCACCACTTCCAACCCCACCATCACCAGTATCCCCCATAGTTTTTCAAGAAGGAATTTATCAAGAACCAGAAGTCATAGAAGTTGCTCAAGATCAAATTGAACATCAAGAAGAACAAAATCAATTTGATTTAAATGAGCCATTATCACAAAATCAAATCATTGATGAGCCATTACATCTTTTAACAAGGGAACAATTAGAACAATATGCAGACTCCCCATGTGAAAATGAATCACCAATTCCACTTTTAAATCAATACCAATTAGAACAATATAATGACTCATCTGAGGAAGAAAATGAAATAGATTATTATAATTGGAGATGTTATCAAACTCAAAACACTCCCCCACCAACACCATCACCAGTATCCCCCATTGTTTTTCAAGAAGGAATATATCAAGAAGAAATAAATCAAAATAATGAAAATCAAGAAAATTCCCAACAAATTCAAAATAATGAAGAACAAAATAATGAAATCCAAGATAATCATGAATTTTTAAACAATGAAGAACAAATTAATGAAATTCAAGATAATAGACAAATTATAAATGAAGAAAATCAAGAAAATGAACAAGTTATCAACAACGAAGAACAAAACCAAGAAAATCAAGAAAATGAAAATCCACACCATAATTTTATTTTTGAAGATGAAGAGCCAATTCATGTTTCACCACCATATTACATCCCCTATGAATTGGAAGAACCTATCTATTCAACACCTCCACAACAACAACAATTCAATCATATAAATGAAGTTGAACAAGAGATAGATGATTATCTTAATGACCAAGAAGAACAACAAGAAGTAAATCAAGAAGTAAATCAAGAAGTAAATCAAGAAGAAAATCAAGAAGTAAATCAAGAAGTAAATCAAGAAAATCAAGAAGTAAATCAAGAAGCAAATCAAGAAGCAAATCAAGAAGTAAATCAAGAAGAAAATCAAGAAGAACAAGAATTTCCACCAACTCAATCACCACCACACGAAGATGAAGAAGAATTTCCACCAACTCAATCACCACCACACGAAGATGAAGAAGAACAAGAATTTCCACCAACTCAATCACCACCACACGAAGATGAAGAATTACAACATCCACATGTCCGTTTCAATCTTGATTTAAACATTTATTACGATCCATCACCAATACCTTCAACACCATCTCTTACTCCAACTCAAACAGATGAAGAACAATAAATAATCATTAATAATAATAATAATAATAATAATAATAATAATAATAATAATAATAATAATAATAATCAATAATAATAATAATCAATAATAATAATCAATAATAATAATGAATAATAATCAATAATCAATAATAATAATAATAATCAATAATAATAATAATAATCAATAATCAATAATCAATAATAATCAATAATAATCAATAATAATCAATAATAATCAATAATAATCAATAATAATCAATAATAATCAATAATAATCAATAATAATCAATAATAATAATAATAATAATAATAATAATAAAAATAAAAAAAAAAAAAAATAAAAATTTTAATGTAACGCCGTCCAATGTACCACAAGTCGAGTCCAGAAGAGTAGTAGCCGCTAAAAAACTGGATAATGTCAGGTATTTCCTTAATTGGGGGTATCTGGCGTTATCTAAGTTTCCTCATCCAGGGAGGGTGAGGTTTTGCCATTTTTTTTTAAAAACGATAGAGGGAACAATTATCTATCTGCTGATAGCTTTGTTAGACCGTATAACTCAAATCATCAAAAGCTGGATTGATTTAAAGTTTTTTTTTTCTATGGAGCCTCATATAAAATTTTTTTTTAAAACCCCTAAAAAAACCCCAAATTTTTTCAAAAAATTAATGTGATGATTTTAAATTTTTTAAAAAAAAATTTGGGTTTTTTTTTTTTTTCGAAAAGTATTTAAATTAATTTTTTTTTTTTTTTTTTTTTTTTTTTTTTAAAAAAATTTTTTTAAAACCTCCAAAAAAAACATCATTTTTTAAACTTTTAAATCCCAACCTTTTTAAAAAAAATTTTAAACCAAACCCCCGGAAAAAAAAAGCCAAATTATGGGGAAGTTTTAATTTATTTTGGATCTAATTTTCTTTATAAAGGAAAACATATCAAAAAAGGGGGGATCCCGGAACCCCCCCCAAAAAAAGCCCAAACCAATTTCAACACCCCCGGGGTTTTTTTTATTTAATTAATTTAATTAATTTTTTTTTTTTTTAATTAATTGAAAGTTTTTTTTATTTTTTTTATAAATTTATAAATTGGGGTTTTTTTTAATTAACCCTAAATTTTTCCCCCCCGCCCAAAACCGAAATAAAAAATTTTTTTTTCAACTGGGGGAAGGG